TATGGTATCTATAATAAATTTTAAACAAATTATGGTATCCATAAATAAATAAATATATAATATATATATAACTTACTTCGCATATATATAGCTATATATATAAATATATATATGCATAAAAACGTATATACATATATACATATATGTATGTATATATATATATGTATATATGTATATATGTATATACATATATATGTATATATATATATATATATAAGTATATTATATATATATATTATATATATATATATATATATATATATATATATATATAGATATATATAGATATGTATATATGTATATATATATATATATATATATATATATATATATATGTATATATGTATATACGTTATATATACATATATATATATACGTATATATAACGTAAACATATATTATGGTATGTCATGTTTATTGTCATTATGGTATGTCATGTCATTTTATATTGCATAGTTTAACTAAACTCAAACCTCTGGTGGGCAAACTATGCATAGATAGATCCTGAAAATACTATCATAAATATATAGAAACAGCATATTTTGTAATACTTTTATCTAAAATGCTGAATATATAATTTTGACAATAATCCAAATCTTATTTTGAAATACTAATACATATTATGTATATATGGGAAAGGGATAAGGTATATATCCCTTCCTGTTTGATAAAAAAAAATATTAGTGTATACGTTTTGCAAGTTCACTATAGAATCATATAGGCTACATCATTTGAGTGGTTCATAAAAATTGGTCAATTTTTAATCAGATCTGCCGTAACTAATTATATATAGAAAAAAATTTATTCTAATTACCTTTTAATTCTATTAAAATTAATTATATATTTTATAATGTACCTATATATGTATATATATATATAATATTATAAATATTCATATTAGTAACTAAATTGACCACAAAAATATTAATAATAAAATACGTCATTATAGTTCTTAATTTCGAGAAAAATAATTGAAAAATTTTCTCGCCACAACAATTCGTGTTATGAATTTATAATTATTGTTAAAATATACTTCATACAAATGTATATATCACATGTATATACCAAAGTATTTGTATAATACGAGTATAATTTTATTATAAAATTATTTAATAATAAATTTAGTTTTAAAATATTGTGATCGCATAGACCTGCATTTATATGTAAAATTAAAAATACATATATAGTAAATAATGTGTCTCATATAATAGAGAGCTATAATATTGTTAATTCGTTCATGATTTGAATAAATAAATTGATACATGAAATTTCAGTGAATTTTATAGTTAACGAAATAAAAATTTCAGGTACTTTTACAGTATATTACGTATGTATGTGCATACAAAAAACATGGAAAAACCCAATTTTACAAAACGTTAATTTTTTTTTTTTCAAATCTTACTCGTATTTTCTGATGGAATCAAAAAATGATGTATCACTCATAATATAATAATTTGTCTAGGTAATTGCAAAACAAAAACAAATATAACAGATTGCAAAAAGGGAATCAAATTATTAAAATTCATAATGAATCACAAATAAATATTTTATTAATATACACACGATAACACGGTACATGATATTTTTTTGTTACTGAATTTAATAATAAATTCAATTTGTGCACCACAAACCAACAGAATTCTTATGCATATTACCCTAAACATAGGCAGTAAAAATTTTTACAATATTATGCCTATAATTATGCAAATATTTTTTGTTGCAATGCAAAATACACATTCTTATTTCAATGATATTTCATATATTTAAAATGAATTGAAGTGGCTGACTATATTCTTTTAAATTAATCTACATACCTACATACCTAATAGAAATTTAATCAATTTTAAATGATAATATTTAATTTTACCAAAAATTAAAGAGCAAATAATTTAATGCTGATTTTATAAAGAAGAAATCTAAGTAGACCATTGTAAAATTTACAAGCATATTAATAGAGTGTATTAGTAATAATTATTTTACATTTATCAATTCAGAAAGATTCAAATATGTATAAATATCTGCAATGAAGATTATTTTTTGATTACATTAACAATATGATGCAAAATATATTAACAATGTCATTCAACAATAAAATAAAATACGGAAGAGAATATTATGACTTAAATAACCTTTATAGTATTAATTATTATTATTATTATTTTAATTAATTAATAATGGAATGATCATATTTATACTTATATATTGCAATATAATTATAGAAAAATATAAAATGTTCACATATTACAGCAGACATAAACAAAAATTATTTTATGTGAAATTTTACGATAATAATATATATGAACATTAATTTTGGAAAAAAAATATAACTATTATAAAAAGACTAAGAATAATTATTGAAGAAATTTTGGATGACTGTTTCTATTGTAATATTTACAATGATAACCCATGTTAGAAAAAGATGGCTTTTGGAATATCCAAATAAATAATACGAGAAAAGCTGTAACACCTTTTATACTTACTATATCATACACAAATTGCTATACATATATATTTTTATGTATTTGAAAATTAGGAAATTTAAATATACATAAATGCATATAAATTTATTAATTATATATTTCAATCGTAATTATGCATACAGTACAACATTAATATATATTATGTATGCATATATGTATAAAAAACTGTGTTTTAATTATAAAAAAAAAAAAAACTGAATGAACTTAAGATTTTAAATTAAATTACATGAGGCTGATAAGATTTATTTTTTTTTTTTTTTTTAATTTAAAGATGAAATTTTCCATTTATAAATAAGTGAAAGAACTTTACAATATTTTTTAAGGAAAATTGTATATTGGATCCTAACAAAAATATATTGATACCGTAAAAATTTTAATGTATTTTCTTTCGAATATGTATAAATACCTATGCGTATATATCTTTACTTATCTAAGTATTTGAATACGTATGTTGTCCTTGAAAGTGTTCTGTACTCTCCTTGTAGCGTATAGCTTTATAATGTATTCTTCCTATATAACAATATTGAATGTATATGTATATGTTTTCAGTGCGATGATCTACTAGTCTGAGAATTCAATGCCATGCTACAAGTAGCCCATATAAATATCAAATTTCTGTTCATACTTTTGTATAGAAGAAAATTTTTACAAAACAAAAAAAAAAAATACTTTTCAAAAATTTCAATTCAATATGAAAACTTTTATTTTTTAATAATTTTTTGTGATTTACATACATACATATTTTTATTGATTTTATTAATTTTAATTTATTAATTACCTCTTGTTTTGTTTTATATAACACTCTTACATACATATTATCTAATTTTGCATTACGGTGATCATTAACGTGCTCGTAAATTATACCGCAGTCCATTATTGTCTTTAATTCTATATAAAAAAGCGATCTTAAGCTTAGCTAAAAAAATGAAAATAAATTCAAAATCTAAAAATAAAATTGATCTTGGTCATATTTAATAATAAACATGCTATTTTATAATTTATAATATATGTATAAACATATATATATATATATAGATAATAATGCAACATCTTGTTCATTATTCTACTATAAATATGTGTACATTATACTCTAATTCTGTGGCTGTGCCTTCTTTTTTGAACTTAAATAAATGTGAGAGCATTTTTTTAATTTTTTTTTTTGTTTTCATTCTTTTTTCTCGATAATTAATGTTCAACTGAATTGAAATCAATTTTTATCGCATAAGGCTATTTGCCCTTTCTTATCACATAAAGTTACAAACATAAGTAAATATATACATACATATATGTATATAAAGTGAATTCTGCTCCTTCATTATTTTACATTTTGTTAAATATTTAGATAGGTCTTTGTGTTATAAATTTTTTTAAACATAAATATAAACATACATATGCGTAATATAAAGACGTATATTTTTTGTTTCTTCATTATGTGACTATGTATGTACATACGTATAGTTATAGTGTACAACGGAATTCTTTATTAAAAAAAAAGGAATTATTTAAAAATGTTCACAGTAAAGTTTCTGTAATACCGTAAATAATATATTTAAGGACACTTATTATACATTTGATTCATACATCAGAATTCAAATTGTAGACGGAATACATAGGAAAGATCCTGGGGCGTAGGCAAGGGGGGGGGGGGGGGGGGGGGGGGGGGGGGGGGGGGGGGGGGGTACATATCAATCAATATTTAAGCTCTAAAAATTTATAATTGTATTCATCCACCTTTCTTTAAATAAATACATATGTCGCGTTAATTTTAATTAAATATATCGTATAACTTTAAAAATTTTAGTAAAATTTTTCTTATACATGCCAATAAGAAAGGCTATTTTATATTTGCATTAAATTAGACATATGTATGTGTGTATGTAAGTAATGAAAATGTTACAATGTTAACTTTAGTATATTTAATAGATGCATTAGGAATAAGGTTTTTTAAAAATATTTTATTAATTAATCAGAAAAGTTTATCTTATACGTATGGTCATAATGGTTCAGTTTTAATAAAGTTAGTTTAATCAAAAATTATTTTACAATATTATTTTGGACCGGAGCTCTTCCCGGAATCTTTTGTGACCCCTATATACCCTTAAAATATTATTACTATGTGTAGGCTACTGACGAATTGCAATATAGCATTCACTTCAAGTAGCGAGACTTCCATTCCATTAGTCTTACTTGCACTTTAAATTTACATAATATTTAATTAGTTATATCTTAATTAAATTACAATAGGTCTTCATTGATTTCATTTTATGATCGATATTAAATAAAAAAAACTCTTCTATTTTTCCAAATTTAAAATAAATAAGAAAAGGAAAACTAAAAAAGTTTTTTAAACCAAGTTATAATTTTTTTCAATGAAAATACATAAAATATTTGTATACAGTGCGAGAGCTCACGAAGTGCAAAGAACTTTTGTTTCAGTCCATTTTATTATTTCCACTTGATAAGGTTTTAAATTAAGAAAGAATTTTTTTTTAATATAGAAAAAGAGTTTTTTTTTTTTTTGTTTTACAAATTTTGTATTAAATTCTGTATTTAAGAATAATATTCTAAATGAACTATAATATTTTATAATTTTGTTAGTTACTTTAAATTTAAAAAAAAAAATTTTAGCATAAAATTTCATTTTTTCTAATTTACAACATAAAAAAAAAAAACAAATTAAAATTCATAACAAAAATAAAGTCATTGCTAAAGTGCTAAAGATACAATTATGATTAATACAAAATTATTACTTGGAATTGTGATAATTACAGTGTGTTGTGGTATTTAAAAAACTTTTTATATATACAGTTCATATATATATTTGCTTATGCGTTTCTTTCTATTAAGTGGACCTAATTAAATTCTAAATCAAATATTTTTTTTTTTTAATATATGTATGTAATTTATTTTTTATTTTTACTATAATATTACAGTTTCGGTTATTTTATGCTGTGATCCATCTAATCCAGAACAAACACAGCACGGATGTCGAATTGATAATGGTGCATGTACATGTTCATTTGGTTGCAAATCAGAATTTCGTTATGCAAACCGTAAAGAATGTCAGGATGCTTTAAAAGTGAGTAAAATTAAATAGATTATAATTTGATCAAGATGCAGTATTAATTGAAAATTTTCTAATTTTTTTAATACTCATGTATGAAATACACACAACGGTGGGTTCTTATCAAAAGTATTATAACATTAATAAACTTCCGTAACTTCATATTTTCCGGTTTAACAATAATTTTTAACGTACTAATAATCTTATAAACTTAAAATAAAAATTTAGAGTTTATTGACCTAGAAATATTTAGTATAATAATTGAAAATTATTTTATTTGCGACGACCAAAAAAATATATTTTTTTTTTTGAATAATTTTCATTTTTAATTAAATTTTTTAAACAATAAAAATTTTACATAATTGTATTTAAAAAAGATGCTTTGAAACATACACCATCCATATTTTATAAACTATAAAAACGTAATGTGTGTATGTACATACGTAAATTTAAATATTTATCGAAATTAAAAATATTAGACAATATTTTTATTCGTCGCGAACCGCTAAATTTAAAAATAAATATATTATCATACTTTATCAACTGGGCCAATGATTACAAATTTTGAAATAGATTTTTTAAATGTTTGGTTAAAACTAATAAAATTTTTTAACCAAATTATGAAAGCAGCTTCGCGCTTTTTGTAAATTTTTATATTATTTAACAACTGTTAGCTTTTACTATCAGGATGCAAATTTAACACAATACCTTAACATTATTCTTCAAATAATACATTATACAATACCAAATCTCGCATAAATGTGTATTATTTAACATGGTACAAATGATTAAAATAAAACCTCATAATTTTAAATTGAATCACAATGATTAATTGACAATATTGTGAAAAATGATACAGTTAAGATTTTTTTTCAATTTAATTATTATTATTAATTTATTTTTAGAATTCTTATAATTATTAAATTAAATTAAATTTGATTTGATTCATTATGTATATTACATGATTACATTCCCATAAAATACTTTTAGGGAACATCAAATGACGTATGTGGTCGCAGACCATGCTTAAACGGTGGCGGTTGTACACAAATATCTGGTCCACCCGGATACAAATGCAGATGTTCTGGAACAGGATATTGGGGAAGTAGATGTCAAAGACGTAAGTTGTTTTTAACAAGCCGATAACACAATAACATTTCTTTTAAATTGAAATTCTTATATTAGAATGTCCGAGAACTGATGATGAGCAGCAATACAACACAAAATTTCCTCATGAATGCGTGGTGATATAATTTAAAAAAAAAAAACTTTGTATAATATTATACATAAAATTTTTTTTATTTTAACAAAAATATATTTACCAAATTTTATTCGTTAGGACAATCGTGTAAAAGACTTTAAATTAAAATAATTGTAGAATTAGTTGTACTATTAAATAAAATGGTTCTAAATGTAAAATCCAAAAAGAGAAATGTGTGCATACATACTATATGCAATAAATATACTTATATTTTTTTATAATTACATAATGAAGAACTTTGAAATATGTATGCAGCAATAGTTTTTAATTATCATTTCAAAATCTGTTAGGATAAAGTGGGAATAAATGAAGTATATTCTTTTTATAATTTATTTGATTTCGAAAAAAAAGTGGAGAAAACTTATTTATTTTTTGATTTCTGGAATACAATATATATAGCTTTAATAATTAAGTACTGTTGACTTTCAAAACAAATTTTCCTTTAAATTTTTGTAAACGCTTTATTTTCTCCGAAAAACAATTTTTAAAATAAAAAAAATATACATACTTAAGACCTTAAAAACATTTTACTACTTAAAGCAATTAATTATAATTTATGTACAAAGCAAATGTATCGGACATGTAAATGTTTTCGGTATTCAAAAAATTTTCAGTCTGGTGTACATGTTGAATATTAATTTACTACCGAAAACTTCTATGTGATAATGTTCTTGAATTTCTCCTATCATATTCTCTCCTCTCTAATATTTCTGGTGTATTAGAACGCTCATGATGATTTAATTTCAAATTAGTTAAATTTTGTGAATTTGAATTTATGTTGGCAGTTTTCTGAACTTTCACAGATTGATTAATTAATAAATTTGATATTGCAACTACAGGTGAAAATAATTTTAATGGAAAATCACTGCAAATATGTATTTCATGATTAAAGAGATTTTAAGTAAAAAAAAAAACAAATAAAAAATTATACCATGATCCCGTAATGGGTTGAGCATCGGTTGCACTTAAAATAAAAATTGGAAATGCCATGGAGAATATACAACCGCTATAAAAGGAATAAAATTTCAAAATCAATTGAGTACGAAAATCACTTAAGTGTATAAAATTGTATTTACCTTAAAACGAAGGAACTTGTAATATTTGTGAGTATTGTAAGAGGCATTCCAAAACCTTTCCAAATTAAATAAAGTTAACTCAATGTATATCAATGTATTTTAAAAAAAATCTTACCAAGAAAATATGGCCAATTACATTCGATAAAATTTAATCTTTTATGTAATTCCCAACCCATGTTAACCCACTTGTATTCAAAAGAATACAAAGCATACAAAAATGCTAAATGAACATAACATAGTGTAAGTCCAACGTATTGAAATGGTAGGTATGAAACTAAAGTACTTTGACACAAAAATAACATTTGCACAAATAAACTAAATATAAAATCAGCAATTAGTTTACTAAAACTTGGTATCAATTGTGGTCGTCCTTTCCTAAATTTATATACGGAATCTGCTATATCTTGAAACCATAAACCATTTACAATTTTGCTCAAAATAAATATTGGCATAACATAAGCCATTCCAAACACAATTGACAAAATTGAACTTAACCATTTCCAAACGACTTCATCATTAATTAGAAATTTTATAACATTAAGCACCCCATATTGGAATATAAATATAACAAACCAAGTACAACCGCCATTTAGCATACAACATTTCCAAACTTGCCGCATTATTTTTGGTTCGCTAAAATTTTATATTAAAAAAATTTTTAATATAATTTTTAAGATAAAATCAAAATTTTACTTTTTTTTGTTTCTACTTTGGGTTTTTTCCCTTTCGGTGATATTACTGGCATCAGATTTTTCAATTGATTTGGACTCTTGCATTTGTATTCTCATTTGCCTGTCTATAGAAAATACTAGTACACATCCCTTTATACTGTCATAGAATCCTTGAAGAAATGCTGAAGCTATGACCTGTTAATCAAGATACATAAAACGTGAATTATTGATTGTACCCACATTCACAATCATATTAAAATTTACGTATGTACGTATGTATTATTTACATATTAATTACAAAGTGCTTCTTCATTCTCAAAACTTACTTTAAGTGCATCCATTTTCCTCTATTTCTAAGTAAATATGAAAAAACTTTTGATAAAAATAATTAAAGTAAATTAAAGAAATTCTAATTACAATTTTTCAAAATTAAATAAAACACATTTTTGATTAATTGCGACTTTATGGTACTAAAAATCAAAACAAAGAACAAAGTTGTAATCAAAATCAGATGGCACTGACAGTAAACTTCTGTTTTTATTTTAACGTGGTTTCCAAACGTTGCGTACTTTTACCATATATTTTTAAGTTAAGTTAGCACATAAGACGAAATTTAAACGAGAGGTATTTGAAATCGTTTTACTTTTTTGCCGATTTTTGGGCATAGAAATTTTTTAGATCATATAAGTTGTGTATGTACATATATAAAATCATTGATGAAGAAAATTGTTTAGGAGGCAAAGCATATTGTAATCTTCTTTTTTGCAGAGAATATTCTATGTGCAATGCACAATAAATGGTAGGTTCACAAAAATGTCAGTAATAAAAGCAAGGCAGGGATCTTAGATTCGCTTCGTTTGAAAGAGACTTAAGACCTCTGTCTCACGCTTGCTCCAAAGAAAATTAATTTAATAAAAAAGTTAAATACATATGTATGTACACATATTACATAAATGTGTATATACATATACATACATTTCTCCGCTTATGTGCGCATTCGTGAACTAAAAATTTATTGAAATACTTTACAAAACAATAAAATTGGTGGTAATTGACAGTCTGATGGTATCACGAACTCAGACAATTTTATATCATTAGTCAATTAATATTTTGACAATGTTAATTTAAAATATAATAATCTGTTCTCAGCCAAATGTCTTTATATCTTAGATATTTTAGATATAAAGACATTATTTAACCAGTGATGCTTGGATTTAACTGCTGAATAAAATATCGTTTTAAGTGATTGAGTTCATTTTGACAAAATTGTTACTTAAAAATTTTTTGTATTACGCACTATTATTTTGACAAGTAGTGTACAGTGATAATTTACATAAATTACCTTATATAAATTATCAGTTTTTAAATAAGCAGATAATTTTGAAAACTCATTAAAGTTTCGAATGAAATTGAACCAATTCCTATTAGTACACAAGCTCATATTATATAATTAGAAAATATTGGAAATTAAATAAATCGATATTGTAAAAGGTATTATATTCTTTATACGTACAAAAAAGTTGAACAATTACTTAAACTTATATCTAGTTGTTTTTATTCTAATAAATCTTCTGGTGGTTCATCTTTGACATCAGTAACTTGGAAAGTTGCACCCATTCCAACAAACTTTTGTAGAGCGTAAAAATTTAGAGTAGGATCATTTGTTTCAATATCCGACACCAAAGAATCAAGTTTAAATCCTTTAAAATTCTGGCACTTTTTTATATTAGAATTACTATTTAAAATCATTTTAACAGGAGATAAACCGAGACCGAAAAATAATTCTCCCTGCGCTCTAATTGGTAAATTAGTTGTTTTTGAATTATTGATAAGAGTATTTAATAATCCCAAATGGCAAATGTTAGCCGATTCACCAAAAAATACATGATCGTAATCTGCATCTGGAATTATCTGAAATTGCGGAGTTCCAGAATTATCTAATATTTTACATGTGAAAGTACATTTTCTATCAGGTTCCTTGGGATGAGCATAAACTCTGGTCGCTATATAACCTACGGGATATATCCAGTTTTCTGTGTGGAAATTAGTGTTTTCACCGACTATTTCTCCAATTGCAATTATTGTTACGGAATTACATGTTATTGGCAAAACTGGACGACCCTCGTCATCTAATATTAACTCCTCTACCTTTTGCGTTTTATCTTGCACTTTTTTAGTCTTTGGTATAGGTGTTCCATCAGGATTAATTCTCTTTTTTGGACCTCTCTTTCCAGGAATGTTAACAAGGGTTCCATCAGGATTAGGTGGGGGTTGATTCTGAATGTGTCGTCTCAGTTTTTCTACTTCAGGATCATTGGTTTCAATGATTTTTTGAAGTAAAAACTCCCGTTCTTCTTTTATTACCAATATATCCTGCTGTATTTGGGCTATTTGATCACACAGTGCCGCATTCTCCTATAATAAAATTCGTAAGCATCACGCATTAAACTAAATGAAAATCTGAAAAACTTACAAATACATAGTTCTTTATAACTCTTTTAATCTTTTTGTATTTGTTTTTATATTTTAGCTGCATTATTTGGTTAAAATGTGCAGATTTAAAATGACCTACTCCAGCCATAAATAACCTTTTTTTTAAATTTTATTAGAGAAAATATATTTTTACACGGTGCGAAACTTTTATTTTTATTTAGAAATTTATTCAGTTTTTGCTTTTTGCATTCAAATTTGATTTGAGGTAATTTACTGATGATAAAATAACAAAATAAAACAAATTATTGTCATTCATGAAATTAGTGTGGCCGGTACAGTTGTAATTCTAAAAAAAATATTACCGAGCGTTCACATAGGCAAATTTTTAACAATGAAGTTGTAGTACATACAAAATTTTTTGTAGTCGACAAAGTATAATACCAGAGTTAACACATACAGCATCAACATATTTGAATTAAATTGTAGATTTTGTTGTATAATGTAAACAGTTAATTACATTTTGTCGTATATGTAACCTAAAACTAATGGAATCACTTTGTCCTCACGAGATTTACTGCAAAATTTTTTATAAGTAATATGACGGCTATAATTTCTGGGTGTTATGAACAGCCACCAGCTGATTTTGGTTGTAATTTTGTAATAATTTTAAAATAAAGTCTGACACTTCAACCCATCAATTACTTTCAGTCTGTTATACAAGCAAATATCAGACTACCTAATAAATTAAATCTTATATTTTGTTGTACATGTTAACCAAACCTAAAATGGAAGGTAATCGAAAATTGAACATTTGCATTTAAAATAAAAGAATTTTAAAACACTTATTACATCTGTCAAAATAGACAGATAAATTGAAATTAAATAAATAATAAATTGACAGATAAATTGAAATTAAATATTGAATAAATTGAAATTAAATATACATATGTATGTTTTATTAGTATATTACATATCTTATGTCCTATTCACGCTACAACAAATAACATGTTATGCACAGTGCAGTGCAACTACAAATTTATATTTTAAATTTTACTTCCCTTGAAAATATTAATAATGTCTAAAAATACTATAAATTACATGAACTAGTGAACATGAACCGTAAATAGCGAACTAGTGGCAAATTTAAATTTCAAACATGATATACCAAAAATACTAGCCGTGATATCAAAATAAAAAATCAAACATGTTTATATAAATGAATTTCTTAAAACTACCGTTTGAGACACCATAGTCGTACATATAAAATTATCCCTACTACAAAGAATGATTCATACAAATTTGACATCGATTAATGATTTGTGACGTCACAGTCCTCTAGTAATTCTGGTGAAGATTATTTTTAAAAACTTATGAAAATTTTCTTGAATATTTTTAATTTTAATATTCAATTACAGATATGCTAAAAAAGACTCCGAAACCAGTATTTTGGAAATTCATCAAAGGAAGCGCAAAAACTTTGTTTGTAATTGAGGCAGTTTGCTTCGCAGTTTCATACGGAATATATTATCGTATGAACACAAATCGTGGTAAGAAATTTCACATTTTCAGATGCCAATTTTGTTCACAATTAGGGGCAATGTTAAATTAGGGTCCAGAATGGTAATGTTAAATTAGAGTCCTAAGTTTAGAAAAATAAATTACTTTGATAAAAATTCAAAAATTTTATAAGTCAAGCAAAATAAAAATACAAACCTCAGTATGTCTTAAAATGGTTAAGTAATTGCAAAATGTAAATACTGCGCGTGATATTTCCATAGATTAACTGTTTTACCATTCATTTATTAATTTTCAGATTATTATGTAGATTTTCATTTTAAAATATTAAACTTTATTAATTTTTATATGTATTCACGAAGATCAAATATTATTGAGCAATAGAGATGTACTAGATATTTTAAAACAAATTGGTTGAATCTTGATTTTAAATTAAATTACTTTTTTTTGCTTTTTAGATTTTCGATTATACATTAACAATAATTTTCCAGTCCTTTTGGATGGTTATTACAAATTAGGAGAATTTTTTGGAGAAAGTAAACAACGCCAAATCGATTTAGATTTCTGGGAAAATATCAAAGAATCCACAAAAAACGTTTCAATATTTAAATAACTTGTCTCATATTATCAAAAGTTAAAAATATTTGTGTAGTTGCAATAGTTTAGCGTATATTGGAGTGGTACTTATCAAAAAAAAAAGAGTAAAATATTTTTCCCATTTTAGAATTAAATATTATTGATTTTTACATATATATAGTAAATGGCATCAAATATTTATACAAAATCTTTTATCTGGTTAACTGTCTCAGGAGGTGTTGCTTATGTATTAATGTTGTTGACTAATCCATCCGAAGAAAAAATAAAGGCAATTAAACAAAGAAGCGCAGTAACTTTAAAGGAGGAAGACAAGAAAAAGATTTTGTTTTTACACAGATTGAAGCAAGCTGCAAATGAAGAACCAACTTTTACTAAAAATTCAAAAAGAGAATAATTAAGTAATTTCAGTAACAAAATACGAAACGGTAACAAATATTTAAATTTCTAATAAAAAAAAAACATAATATGCAAAATGGAATCTGAAGTCACACTTAATAATTTAACAAATGAAGCAGGATCTGGGATTATTCGAAAAGACAACATTTTTGAAAAATTAAATAAGCGTAATAAAGATCTACAAAATTTTCTAGAGACACGTTTAGAGCAACGTATTAAAGATAATCAACCCCTTGAAGAATTCAGTCAGCAATTTGCTGATAGAGCTGAAAACATTGAATTCAAAATTGATAATGCACAACCTAATACAAATAAATCAGAATTAACAAGATATTTCGCTGGAATTAATAACGATATACAAGAATTGCAACGCTATTTATCTCAATCAACGGTTTTATTGCCGGATTTCAATGTGAAAACTTGTCAAAATGTTTTAAATGATCTGACAGCCCGATCTGAAGATATTCGATTAAAATTAATTCCGAAGAAAAAGTTTGGTTTTAGTAAAGCTAAAGTAACTTCTATACCAATAAAGGAACAAAAATTAGTTGTTAATAATAATGGTATTCCTCCAGGTGATAACAAGGAAAACGATAGTAATGATAAAACTGATTCTTTAACTGAAAAAGAAATTTTGGATTCCTGTCCAGTTTTTGATTGGACCGTATCAAAAAGGCAAAATGAATATATTTTATTAGTTGGTGCAGAAGTTGATTGTAAGGATGTGACAATTTCAAATCTAAAAAATTGTTTGATCGAGATTCAAGGTCATGCAGGTTCTTTACAAATTTCTAATGCAAAGAATTGTACATTTTTATGTGGTCCAATTTCAAGATCTCTTTTTGCAATAAATTGTTCAAATTGTACTTTCGTAGCGGCTTGCCAGCAACTTCGACTCCATTCATCAAAGGAATGTCAACTTTGGTTACATGTTACTTCTCGAGCAATAATTGAGGATTGTAAGGTCATACAAGTTGGCGAATATAATTACAGCTATTCTGGTATTGATATTGATTTCATAAAAGCTGGCTTAGATATTAATATAAATAACTACCGTGATATCGCCGATTTCAATTGGTTATCACCTGATCAACCTTCTCCTAACTGGACATTAATTAGTGGAAAAGAATTAAGTAATAATTGGTATGAATTAAAAGAGAAATTTAAAGAAAATATAAAATTATAGTATTCACTTGACTATACCATTTGGTATACAAGGATATTTTTTTTTTGCATCATAATGACAGCATTAAGTACACTATTTTTACAATCTAATTTCTCGCAAATATTTTCTGTCTAAAAAATGTACAATGAAAAAATTTTTTCAAAAGCTCATTATATTTTTTGCTTTTACTTATTACCACTAAAATTAAAATAAAATAATAAACTTTAAATTATCATGGAAACAAAATATGTATGTATATGTAATGTATTTATTTTCATTGTTTAACATTATACAAATTATAAAACTATGTCAAAAAAGAATGAAACAACTGTAACACAAAATTGAATAAAGGATAATTTGTAAAAAATAAAATGACTATTATGCATTATTTTGTTTTTATTTTTAACTTACATAAATTAACAAATATTTTATAAGATTATATAATATATTTAACTTTAATTGTTTTTCTTAGAAGGTGTAATATAAGCGTGTTTGGGTGAATCAATAAATTCATCATATTCACTTAATTTTTTTGCCAGAAAATATATTTCTGCGAGGGCGATAGTCAGCGCACAAATAATTCCTAGTAATAATCTAAATCCGAATTCCATACCACCAAAAATCAGTTCTAAACCAATGAATCCAAAAGCAAATCCAGTTACAACAGACACGATAAATTGAAATATAGCAATTAACTGCTTATTCAGAGATTTTATTTGGTAAGAAATTGTATCTTCTGGAAGAGACTTCCTTGCAGAATCTACATTTTTTGTCATGTTCGCATACTCCACATTCTCTTGTTCCATACGTAACTTTTTACAACGCTCCTCTAACTGAGGGTTTCTGGGAATAATTTCATTTTTGGGAATTATAAGCTTTGATGCACCTAATATATCGTGAAAACAATGTTGTTGGTTAAGCGTTTCATCTTTGCTGTGGAATTTGTGATACAGTGAGATTATCCTATTTAAATCTAAAGTAATATTGCTATTTTTAGTATTTGAAACTTTGCTTTGATCACTATTTGACGTTGCAGATAGAGGAGCTGAACAATTGCTTAAATTGAATTCAATTGCATTCAATTTTGAAAGAATACTTTTATCTTCACTCGTAAATACTGGTCTTTGTTTATTTTCAAAATCCAACTCAGATTTCAATTGCAATTCTTTTACATATTTTTCATCTGCTTTAGATAACAATATTTTGACGCCCCAATCTGAAATTTTTGCAGTAGTCATTTTGTAGAAGGAAACAAAAAATATCACACCAATAATAATAGCAAAATATTATAATATGTAATTTTGTCACTAAGAATTCTTGTGAATTTCTATTTTTTTTTTAAAACACTAATGCTATAAAGAAAAGTCAAAATCGGATAATCCAATATTTATTCTCTCAGAACACTTTTTGCGCAAATCGCGTTCAAACCTTAATAAAAATTTTCAAAATAAAATCATGTGATATTATATTTTATTTGTTTTTATTTTTCCAATATATTCTCAGCAACATCAAAAATAATTGTATCAAACGACAAAAACAAGCATACATATCAGAGCATACATTTTACTTTTGACATTCTAGTTGGAAAGTATATCCATATAATTCTTTTAACGACCAAATCACTTTATATTCCTGATTTTTATAAAGGTGAGTGAGTGAACATTGAAAAATACTTTGTAACAGTTGACAATTAGTGTTTCAAAGGGTTTTAGAATATGTTCACTGCAGACTATACATACATTTGACATTCTTGTTTGCGTTTTAAGGACTCCGAGCATACGAGATTTACATTTTTGCAATTACTACTTCAGTGTTAATTTATTGCACAAACACATAAGAAACTGAACTATTGTATGAAAAAATATAAAATATAACAAAATATAAAAGTTTGTTAAAAAATGCAAACAGTTTGATAAACTAGTGAAACGTTCACAAGAAAGGAAATATAAATAAAACAGCAATAAATATTGCACTCTGTATTGTAAGTTACAATATTACTTTATATACATTTTTAGTATTCCATTTCTATGCTTTTAAGCACACTACAAAAATATAAAACACGTACTCGTATCATGTATGATACATGTTTCATATGTAGTTGTTCAATTATTGCATTGACATTAAAGCAATATCGATTGTCTTTTCGATAAATATTTGGCTGGCAGCTGTCAGAGTGGGAGTTGTTTTTTAAGAAAGTTGAAAATTTGTCTTTTAAAATTTTTAGTGTATATTATTTGCTTTTAAAGCATTACACTAAAATTTAAGAGATAGAATATATAATTATCAAAAGAATTTTTGTTATTTATTTAAAACTAGTATACATTAGAAATATTATGAGTCCGACAAACCGATGATCGATTAATTTAAAAATTTTAGACTGGTATGTATGTACATATTATGTACATATGTTCTTATTTAATGTATGTATGTAAAAGGTGCATTAATAATTTATTAGTCTTATTTGCAAAACAAAGTAAATATAAAATTTAAGATACCTTCCTTTTATAAAAATTTCAATATTAAAAATAAAAGAAATAAATTATGAAATAATTTAAAATTATGTAAAATAAAAATCCTCGCCTTTTTTTGATATCGAAAAAAATATTCAGGTAGGTATATGTAGGTATTTTCTTTGTGTAACTATTTTTGGGAAAAAATTGATATTCGCATTCTTACTTTATAGACAAAAATAAAAGTTCATACTTTTATAATTTGCAATGCTCCGTTGATTTTTCCATTTTAATGCAAAATTTAAAAAAAAAAATAAATCGTGAAAATTGCAATAGATTTAATTTATAAAAATATGCTACGGTTTTCATGTAATTTTGATCGCGAGACCTTCATAGATTTTGCATGACTACTTAAATTTAACTATCGTAATTAAACCTTTGTCCTTCGTTAAGATAACCATTATAAATTCGTTGGTAAAATGTACTTTTTGAGCTAATGTACTGATTTGAAAAGCTTTATTTAAAAATAGAAGAGAAAAAAGTAAAAAGAAAATTTGTAAGGCTAATAAATTAATATAATTATGTAGGTCTTTAAATTTCAAAATTTCGCAGTTTCTTTAATTTATTAATATTTGTTCATTATCTATTTTTCAAAAGTAAGACGTTATACAAAAGTGATCAGGCTGCTTAAATAAAATATTAGTCTTAAATACAAATTGGTTTTTAATCTACATAATGCATTGGACTGTTCGATTGGAAGGTGGACCAAGACGTGTTAATCATGCTGCTGCCGTAGTGGATGATTACATATATTCATTTGGCGGATATTGTACAGGAGATGACTACATGTATTCTAGCACAATAGATGTTCACATTTTAAACACAAATAATTTAAGATGGTCCCTAGTGCAACCCAAAAAAGATGAAAATAATGAACCACTAAAATATCCTCATGTTCCTTTTCAAAGATATGGCCATACAGTTGTCGCTTATAAAGACAAAATATATTTGTGGGGAGGACGGAATGACGATACTTCGTGCAATATTTTGTATGCTTTTGATACAAAAACATTAACTTGGTCGACCCCGAAAGTCAAAGGCGTTATTCCTGGATCAAGAGATGGACATTCAGCTTGTGTAATAAATGGTAAAATTTATGAATTTGTTTGTTTAGAATAATTAATATAAATGGAGATTTAAATCTTTTTTAGATTGTATGTACATTTTTGGTGGTTTCGAAGAGGATTTAGATCAGTTTAGTTGTGATGTACACTGCTTAAATTTTGATACAATGGAATGGAAATTTATTTATACAAAAGATCAACCTCCATCTTTTAGGGATTTTCATTCAGCGGCTGGAATGAATAATCGTATGTATATATTTGGTGGCCGAGGTGACAAACATAGCCCTTATCATAGTCAGGAAGAAATTTACTGTCCTGAAATTGTTTATTTGGATTTAACGACAAAACGATGGTGTCGGCCTAGTACAACTGGTAAAGTTCCTGTAGGAAGACGAAGTCATTCTATGTGTAGGTTTACTTTTTTTTTTGTGCAAGGGAAGGAAATTAATTGGTTTTTTATATTTAGTTACTTATAACAACCTCATATATGTATTTGGCGGTTATAATGGAATATTAGATCAACATTTCAACGATTTATATTCTTTTGATCCAAAAACTAATAGATGGAATTTGCTGAAACCTAAAGGAAAGGTTCCTTCTGCGCGTAGACGACAAGTTTGTTTAGTTAAAGATAAACGAATGTATTTATTTGGTGGAACTAGGTAAAAATTTGAAAATCGATATTACAATATTAATCGAAAATAATTCAATTTTCGTATTCAATATTTTTTAGTCCAATGTGTTTTTCTTCAAACAGTCTGGTTGATAATAATGATACTCATGTATTGGATTTTGAGCCAACATTAAAAACTTTAGCAATACTAGCCGTAATAGATAATCGAATAGACTTTTCGTTTTTGCCAAAAGAAGTTAGGTAAGTACATCAATCTAAATTAAAGAGTTTGATTCTTTAAAAATTTTTAATTAGTGATTAGTCGCGCATATATTTAATACAGATTTTGATTCAAACGCAAAACTAATGTTAATTTTCCAATACTTCGAAATATATTATACTTTTATGTTAGCACACTATAAAAGAATTTTATTCTTTTTCAGATTTGAAATTCGTACAATGATTACACCCAATTCGATAACAAGGCCAATTAATCAGGCTGGCTAGATGCTCAATTTTAGCTGGATATAAAAATATAAAAATTAAGTTTTTCATTATATAAAAATCTGTAAAAAGCGATTAAGAACTTTGTAAGAGATTTTTAATCTCAAAAACTTTTATCTGATTCTTAATATCACATAGGGATGCACATAACAAATAAACGTTTTTTTTATATATTAGAATAATTGCATATTTGTTCAAGAAAATCAATAATTTCAGAAAGTAATTGAAAGTAGAAAAGGGAGAAAAGAAAGTTAAAATTTTTAAGAAATTATTTGGAAATTTTGATTTTTTTATGTATCTTTTATTAATATTTTATTTAGGATTACAGCAAAAAAATTTTCAAATTCTGTCTATGAATCTTAACTAATTTTGTAAGGTATCGAAAATAGAAGATAATTTTTTTTTTTTGTAGAATCCAAATTATTAGTTTATCTTCATAGGTGGTATTGAGACCTAAAAATTCATATATTCATTGAGAAATAAAATTCATACTTAAATGTCAACAAAACATTTTTTATAATATTCATAATAATATGTATTTTAAAAAATTTGCCATTACTTAAGTGTTTTTAGAAAAAAAAAACACTTAAGTAATGGCAATAACACTTTTTTTGACATACATAATTACATATTATGTATGTGTATACATTCTTATAAAAGGCTTAATATATATGTATATGTATATATCAAAACACCTGCTATGAAAAGAACTCCAAGTTTTTGGATTTCTTATATATTAAACAATTATTACCGAACAGTTTTCAATAAAACCAATTCAATAACAAGACTAAAATGTGAATATTTAAATTTTTATATTTGAAAATTTATACATTTCTTGTTTAATTCATTAATAGAATGCAGTTAAATTACTTTCGCTATCTTCATGCTTACAATTGAAATTAAGTTTTAGAAATCAAGCAATACTTTTTTTTAAATATATTGCAAAATAATAAAAGATTTGATTGATAATAGATGATTTGATATTTAATTGATTCCATAAAGGTATTACAAACAATATTTTTTGATTCATTCTCTTTGCTTTGCAGATTTTTTATCTTGTCAATATTGCATATTAATAGGAGGTGAACATTCAACATAAAGTTACATTTACTCGTAAATAAATAAGGTGAGATGCTTGTAACTTTTGTTTATATTGGATAAGGCTACTAAAACATAAAATTCAATAATAATGTATTATTGAGTGTAATAAATATTATGTGAATTTGAAAAAGTATTATCCCAGACCTTGATATAGCAAAAAATCAAGACCTGGACGCCTGGACCCTGCTTTTTTTGTGAATGCATTTGCAAAATTGCGCACCTATGTATGTATGTGTTTTTGGCGAAATAACATTTCTGAAGAAATATTTGTTTTTGTTGTTTTTTTGGAAAAATTATGAGTCTAGTCTATTTCCATTTTGAGTTGGCTATCGGAAAAGTTGGCTAAAATCTAAAAATTTTTATACTAAAATGAAATTTGGAGTTTTTCGAACAACATACATATTTAAACTTTAGATTTAACTCATAGATTAAATATATTTTCGAGTCTTTTCCGTATTTTTTTTGTACTGTCATGTCAGACAACGTATGTACATATTTGAGAGAATTGAGAGTAAGAAATGATAATACAGTGAATAAAAAAAAATTTGGTGCTTTGTTTTTTAATCTAGAATACACGACTTAAAATAAGGTTAATCAAATTTCATTACATTTTAATTTAAGTTTGTAATTATTTGATTTCAAATTTCATAATTATGAAAGTGCTTTTAAAATTTTATAATCATTACAAAAATGCGTCGTTTCAAGTTCTTCCCTATATAAAAACAGACATAACAAAAATATTATAAAGAAACTTGTAATAAGTTTTAAAGGTTTTGATGCGGTAGTTTAGGTAAATCAGTGAATTAAACTTATATACAATGTAAAAATATTTCCTAATAAAACTAAAATCAAACACATACGTTAAAAAAATTATATGGACTTTTAATATAAAAAGAATTCACATAATTATGCAATAATTTTTATGAATTATGAAGCATATAAATTTAATTAATATAGTATATACATGAAAATTATATAGATATATATGTGATTATATAAGAAGTATGCATTTTTGGAGACATATCATAGCAAACTTGTTAATATCAAATGTACATACATATTCTCAAATTTTAAAAAATACAAAAAATTGCACTATTTTTCTTTTCTTGTAGTGTAGCATTTATTGAAATTTAAAAAAAATAAACGGAACCTGGAAGGTTTTCTTTAAATCAATTTTTTAATGTTTTAATAACACAAAGCTTTAAGAAAGTAAACACTAGTAAAATAGAAAAAGATTGAATTTTAAATTTTTCTAATTATAAATTTGAAAAAAGTAATTGATCTTGTGGGAGATTTATGATGTTAAAAAGGGCCCTCTATAGATCCCATAAGAATACGTGTAAATTCGTCAGCTGTGAACTACCACTCTCTCTTAGGGTCCAGGCCTGTATTTCTGTCAGCCGTGTCCCACACACTTTGTATGCAAAAACTTTATAAAGTTTTTAAAAGTTTTTAAAAACTTTCTTATCCCAGGCAGACCTAATATTAAAATATTCGTCCTTAACTTCTGTGTCATTGGAAAATAAAGAGAGAAAAACAAATGAAATAGCTAAAATTTTAATTGTATTAATTTACTATATTATTTATTACATATATATATTATATATATAATATTTATCAAATTTTATATTTTGTGTTCCTCTTCTTATTTAAAATCAGTTATATAAAAAAAAAAAACTTGCCTTATCTTAAAATTATTTTGAATTTTTTTTTTTAACTTTATTTTATTTTTTTTTTTCTTCAGACTATTTCATTCATATTATTTTATTATAAGAAATATTAGAATTTTTTAATTTCATTATAACAAAATAATAATATTTATAATAAGTATGTGTAAATAATATAGAAATAATTGAGTAAATTATATATTCAAGCATTATCCCTGATTTTAAAAATGCAGCAATATGATATTAATAGACATTTAAACTTATGAGTGTCACTGGATTTTATTAATTAATACCCTATTACTGCAATTATTCAAATTCAGAGCGTACATATATATATATAGCACATAAATATATACTACATATATGCAATGTTATTATTAAAAAAAATAATTTAGAAACAATATTTGTACCTAATACAAAAAAATTGTTAAGCTTTCTTTAATTATAAGGCGGAAAAGTATCCGTGATTTCAAAATTGCAATAATACTGCATTGATACTGCGGCAATCCAGTAATTACAACTCATAAGCTAGCTTTATTAGCTAATATTAATATCGTATAATTGAAATTTTGAAGTCAAGGTATATTATAATTTTTTATTTATTAAAATTTCAAATTAGAAGTGTTGCACCAATATTAAATTATGTCATGTTCAATTCAGATCATTCAAAGTTTTGATAAATTTAATTAAAATAATGATTTATATACATATATATTTTAGATATGTTTTAGACATGTAAGCTTAACATATTAATTTGTTTGTAGTAAATTCAAATAGAATTTCTAATACAGGCTAAGCGCACTCTTATTGTGAAGTTTTTTATTGGTTCTTATAAGACAAAAAAAAAATTTGAATAAAAATAATTGATTTTAATTAACAAAAAAAAAATTTTTTTTATCAAATTTTTAAATTTTATATTTTTATAAAATATTTTATATGTGGAGGGGTTAGTAAATTTTGTTTTTTTAATTTATATATATATATTTTTTTAATTTTGATACTGTTTTTTTGTGACTAAGAAGAATATAAAATAATAGAATAACCATACGAACATAAATTAAAAAATTTAATATAATAAAAATAATTTTATTGTATGTATGTATGTGTATTTTTCTTGGAGCGCACAGAAAACTTATTTATAACGGAGGAAAATTAAAATGCTTTGTCATTTATGGAAATTTCTATAACTGTCATATGGTTTTTAACACTAAATTTACAAATATTACTCTTCATGAGAATTAGGACATTTATACAAATGCAAAATCTAACGTCAATTTGATTTATCCAGCAATACATTTTTAATCGCTAAATAATTCATATTGATATTAAATTTGTATTTGGGTAACAAAATGCCTTTCTGGCAAATATTATTAACAAGTCCTCATTTCTCCTTACTACTTTTCTTAAAAAGTTTACATCAAATGTATTTTTCATAATTTACTCTGTTTTAGTTAATCATATAATAATTATATAATATATATTTTTCGCGTACATATGACATTTTAAGGCGAGTCACTTGATCTGTTGTGATAAGAATAGGTACATAATTATGAAGTATCAGTAGATTTAGTGTTATAAATTAATTTCTTTCATTTGATAATCTTTCGAAATTTTCATATGAAAAAGTTTAATAAGAGCATTTGAATTATTGTATAACATTCCTCTAATGTATAAAGGTAATAAAGAAATATTTTTTTCTAAAAAGTCTTTCGAAATCTCAAATATTAATTTTAAGTTTTAAATAAAATTTTAATGATTTGTTTTTTGTATTTTGCTCCATGAAAAGTTGAATAAAATAATTAATATGTGAAACAAAAAAACACTATGCGTTTATTTGTCAGTTTAGGCAAAAAACTTATTTTATATTAAATTATCCACCTTTTTAATTATTAGCAAATATTTTCTAAAACCTTTAATATAAAATATAATTTTTAATGAATATCGTTATTGTGTGTATTGAATATTTGTTTTTCTTAATTACTTATTTCAATAAATAATTTTATTTTTTTTTTTTTATTATACAAATTATTATTTACGATATTCTTGTTTTACATAATCATTTTTAATATTTTTTTTTTATTTTTACATAAATATGTATTATTTTTTTCTTTGATTTTTTAAGACTAGAAAATAATAGCATTATTTGATTATTATTTTTTTTTTTAAATTGTACACTAATTTCGTTTTTATAAAATGTGTGTCAATTTATTTTTTGAGGTTTTATCGTAGAAATATATTTATCATTTTATTTGATTTCAAAAATTTTTAAATAAAAATTGAAATAATCAAATTTTTCTTATTACAAAAAATTAAAAAAAAGAAATAATACGGTTTTTTTTTTAAATATATAAATATGAATTTGATATATGTACATATGTATAATATCAAATGTCATAATTCAAAACAAAATTAAAAAAAATTTACGAGAAAGTAATTTTAAATAAAAAAAAAAGTGAATAAATATTGATAGGATTTTGTAAATTTATTCAAGAAATAATTTTTAAATAAATAACAAAATAAAAAAATTATAAATGTTCTACATTTTTTTTTCAAATACTGAAAAAATTAACTTTAAAGAAAACATATTTAAGAGTAAATTTATTTTTATATGTATAACAATAAAATATTGTGTTACAAATTAAATAAATTTTTATTTTAAATGAAATTTTCTGAAAATTGTAGGCTTTAAAATTATTTAAACTGTTGAATGAGTACATTGATTTTCTAAATAGAAAAATAAATTAAAATAATTTATTAAAAAAAAAATATATTTTAACATTTGAAATAAATTAGGTGACAGACATATTTATCATATTATGGTTTTTCTAAAAGAATATTTTATACAATTGAAAAATAATAAAATAAGAAGCAATCATGTAAATTAAAATTTTCATTATTATAAAATATGCACTTATTTTTTCAAATTAAATTTGAATGAAAAAACAAATGGGGGGAAAAAATGAAATTGTTAATTTTACAATTTTAATGAACAAATTTTGTGAAAACTTCCTCGAAACTAAATATCCTAAAAAAATTGCAATTTTCAGTATGACAATTTGAAAATTTTCAAAATAGAATTTTGAGTACTATTAAGCAATGTTTTTATTTTGTTTTCATTTAATAAAAAATTTTCAAGTTAACTTTTCTAAATTTGTAATCAATTCAATGTGTGTAGTTTGATATCACTTTCCATTATTGATATGAAAATTGGTCGAAATTAAAGTTATTGCGTTCCGGAAAATTTTCACAGAATTCATCGTTATTCTTAAAAATTTGATTCTCCAATTTGATTTGATTGGATTTGATTTTTTTATATTTTTATTATATTACACTGGGACACTAAATATTAAATAAATAATATTAAATATTTTTTTTTTGATTTATGAAATTATAATTATTAAACATAATAATTTATTTATATGTATTTTTGTAATAATTATGTGGATTTTTTTTTTGCAGAATTAATGGCTGGTAGATGAAAAACGACTATACATTTTTTTTTTAAATTTCATTTGTTATTGAAAAAGTTTTTGAAAACAAATTATTTAAAAAAAAATTATTTAAAAAATATACTATAAATAAATATTAGTTTTCATCTGTATACTTTATATTGTATTTGCTGCTCTACTCTTTTAAATATCTGGTTTGGTTGTTCAATTTAAAAAATATATTTTGATATATTTTTTTTTTTTAATTATTAATATTTAATCGTTCTCTTGCGCTTCCACGTCTATAGCAACATCATCAATTACTATTGTACGTTTACCATTAGTTTTAATCATTTGTAGATATTTATCAGCATCAAATCTTTGTGATTCATCGTTGATATCCTAACAAAAAAACACACAAAAATAAAAAAAAAGCAAATTAATATTATGATATTTAAATAAAGTAAAAATTTCAGTAAAAGAATAAATCAAATCTTTAAAATTTATAATAAATAATTTGTTTCTATCTTTATAAAACTATTTACGGTAATGACAAAAATTTTAGGGATTAAATGAATTTGAAATGTGAGTTAAACAAATATAATATTTAATGTAATGATTTGCCAGATATACTTGATAAAGAATGCAATACTTTTGCATAATGTATTTAACAAGAATGCAATAAAATTAATTAAAATTTAAAATAATAAAAGAAAATTTAAAAAAAAAGCCATAAATAATTTTAATGATTAACGTGCTCTTTTTTGTAATACTTATACATAACTTAAGTTAGAGCGTTAGAAAAAATAAAAATTTTATATTATAAATATAATTTCTTATAATGACATTTATTTATTTTATTAGAGTTCTATATTATTCAAATATATAAATAGTAAAAGATAGTTTTTGAGAAGATGAACGAAAACTTTACGGTGAAACTTATCTTTAAAATCTTTATCATAAATGTTACATATAAGTATTATAATAATTTTTCATATGATTAATCTATTAATGATAAAAGATAATGTTAGAAATAAAAAATATATTTTACATTAAGCTTATATTTGTTTAACAGTATAACACTTATTAAATAGACATATTTTACAATATTTTATTTTAATAAACATAAAATAATTTTTGGTGGTTTCAACTTACCATTTAAATTTCAAATTTTTAGCATTTGATTTTATTATTATTTTTTAAAAATATAAATGAAAAAGAATGAAAAATGTTATTTTGCAAAATAGTCAGCAAAAAGCCATGCAATAATCTTAGTTGTTTTTTTTTTTTTAACACTTTCATGCTATTATACTTATTATGTTAAATTATAAAATTATAAATTAATCAAGCTATAAAAAAAATTTAACTATAAATAAAAATAAATTTGTATTCTAAACCTTTCATTATAAAACCTGAATAATTTTTTGTTTTTATTTGAAAAAATATCTTGATTTTCCTTTTTAAATAATTAAATGTTTTTTATGCAATTAAAAAAAAATAATCTAAAGAGATTTTTGTTTTTGAAAAAAATTGTTTTTCTGTTGGAAAATCCTTTATAAAAGTGCACATATATTAAATCTATTATAATGACAAAATAAATTACGAATATTAAATTTATTTTTTTTTTAAATCAAATTCTTCCTTCCTTATTTTAATGAGCTGATGGTAATTTGTTCTTCCTGCTTGTATTTGTCTCCTTTAAAAATAATTTCTTAAACTAAACCTTAAATATAATTTTTATTATAAAAATCAAAAGTAAAATTTATTTTTTAATAACTGATATTTTATTTCAACATTTAAATTAAATTTAATAAATATATACTTTATTTATTTTTTTTTTTATTTTATTCGCTACTCAAATTATTCAATACATATATTTATTAAATTCTTAATTTATCACACTAATACTTATTGTTATATTATTAAATCAACATATTTATTTTAAATATGTTATATTCTCTTATATCTATGTAATATATTTACACATTTATATTATTATTATATTTTTTTTTTAACATTTAACAATAATTTCGTAGGTCTTTTTTCGATATAAAAATATAAGTATTTAAAATTTCAATATTTAGAAAAGAAATTCTGATTTTAAAATCAATTAATGGAAATAATTTTTGATTATTATTTCAAATTACATTAGTAAATTTTATTAAATTCAAAACAATCTAATTGTTATCTATTTGATTATAAAATAATTCAAATCAAAAAAAAAAAATTAAAAAAATTTAATATGAAAAAAATTGGGAGTTCACGGGGTTTAAAAGATTAAAACAAAAAATGCATAAATTTTGTTGAGTTCTTAATTTAAAAAGAAAATTTTCTGAAATAATTCTAATTGTTGCGACAAATATGTATGTGAAATACAAATATGTATGATTGATGTAGTTTTTAATTAAAAGAATATAAAAATAAAATAAAAATACACTTTAATTTCAAACTACATAAAATTAAAATTCACCCTCTAATTCTATTAAAAGCATAATTTAATTAAATAGTATTTAGTTTTTCTGTAAAGAATATAAATTTTTTGATATTCTGAATGATTTTATTTCAAAAATTTTATGGGTGATTGCCTATTATATAGTAACTTTCAATAATTTTTATACGTTTGGCGTATGGGACGGCTATAAATGTTTTTTTTTCATTAATAAAATAAAATTCATAATATATTTTAATATTTTACCATACTGTTTTATATTTGAGTAAATAAACGATTTAATATTATTTATTTTTTTACTCTACTCAATAAACTTTACACATTGAGTTAACTTAAAAACAAAACTTTCTTTTATAAAATTTCCATTACATTTTCAATTACGAAACTTTCATAGTTTTAATCAAAAAAGAAAATTGCATTTAATCTGCAAATTCAATTGCAATTTTTAACGATATTAAATTTTTTCTTTTCGATTAAAAACGATTTCATTGTAAGTATAGAATCCATTGTGTAGATTTTTTTGTTATTTTTATAATATTAAAATAAAAGAACATTTTCTTCATTAATTTGAATGTTTTAGTGAACAAAAAAAAAAAATGAACATTCTTATAAAGAAATCGTACATAATTGCGAATAATTTAATTAGTTTCTATAAAATTCCAAAGATTTTAAAATATCTTTCATAAATTTTGTTTTTTGAATTTCATGTATCTTTTAAATAGATCGCTTATGCCTATCTAGTTTGAAATATTTTTATGTTTGTTTTAATAAAATTAAAAAAATAAATTTTTCGCTTTATAGCTATTTTAAAATGGTTATGATTTTTTGATAAGTGTTAATTATATCCTTCAAAAGAAATTGATGATATACAGAAAATATAAAATAATTCAATTGATACATTTTTCTTGTTTTAATTTTATTAATCTAAAAACTAATTGTATATTATGTGTTATTGTGTTTTTTGTGTTAACTGGGCAAAAATAAAGTATGATACCGATTCTTTTTTATAAATGTTTAGTTAATCAAAATATGAAAAAGGAAATATAAAATTAAATAAAATAAAAAGTTAGTCACAAGTTGAGTTAGAACGCATAGCGTGGCTTAATTTTGGTATGCGTTTATTAGTAATTATAGCAATTTTACTTTCATTGTTAGCAATATCTTTATTAGCTGTTAAAATATTAATATCATTATGTTTTTCATTTTTGACAGTGTCCTCAATAATAGTACCATCAGAATTATCAGTATTCTCGTCTTTATCTTTCTTTGTATAATTATTATTTTTATTAAAATTATCTTCTTTATCAATTAAATTTTGATTTTCATTATCATTAACCGAATCTACATTTTTATTAGTACATGCATCGTTTTCTTTGTTAATATTACTTTCAATATTGGTATTATTATTGATTTTCACTGAATTATCTATATTTTCATTTAAATATTCTGATTCGTCAATGCTAAAAGTATAACGATTAAAAAAACCTTTCCTTCGTATTGAAGGAAAATGAGGCAAAGTGCTTAATGTGTCTTCCGTTTTAGCATTAGTATTTGTGTTTTTAGTAATAGGAGAAATATTAGGATTTGTAGGATTAGTTGAAACATTAATTGCAGTTGTGATATTGTTTGGTGAAGGTGTAGTCGATGTGGCTGTTACAGTTGCAATCGTTGAAGAATTATTTACCTTATTTCGTATGAGTGATGGATGTTTATCGACTATCTTTTGCCAATCGCGTGGTAATGCCCAGGAATGCGGACTTTTAGCATAATAAATTAAGCGTTCATATTCATGTACAATTCTCGCTGTAAATATATTAAAAAAATATTTTTAGCTCAATCTTTTTTGTAACGATTTTTGAAAATTAGAAAAATTTTAGTTTATCTGCGAGGTTTATTATATAATTAAGTAATTATTTATTATCAATTATTATATTAGTAAATAATTGATAGTTTATAAAAAATTTTTGTTTCTAGAAAACTCGCTTAACTTTCGGTATATTTTATTTTTGTATTAAAGATCGATTGTTCACAATCGAACAAAATAAAGTAGAGAGGTTAAGCAAAAATAATATATAATTACAAGAGAAAAAGCGAAAAACTCACTGTTGCTTTCTTCCTTTTTAGTAGCCTCTGTCGTTTTACTTTTAGTACTGTCAGGTGGGGTACTATCTTTTCTCGAGAAATGACTTCTTCTAGATCTAGATAAACCGTTCACTGGAGTTGGTGTTCCTTAAAAATTCATTATTTAAAAATGTATATATGTTTAAATTATGAATCTTTAAATACCATTTTCTTCAATTATAAATACATCGTCATCTCCTTCAACGTAACTATTTCCAGATATCTGTCCAGCCATATAGTTTAAGCCAATACCACTATCAGCAAACGGGGTTGAAGAAATAAGTTGATGTGATTGTGGTGCAAATGTTGGCCCACCGGTTAAGGGAGTTGTGGGAGTAGATGTTGAGTTAATCATAACATTGTCGAATGCGGCACCTGCTTCAACCGAAGCCAAAAACTCGTTACTACTAAAGTAATCATCCAGGACTAATTTAGCAGCCTAAAAATAGAAACAATTAAACAATAGAAGCAAGCAATACCTTAAAAAAAAAAAAGGAAAAAAAAATTTTTACCCTGACTAGCTCACAATTATCTCCAGTAATTTTTATAATATGGTGACCAACGTTAACCGTATATTTATATTCTCCTAAAGTGGCATCATTTGTAGAAAATGAATGCAATAATGGTTGTTGACCACTATTATTTCCACCAGCAGCATTAGAACGTTTATTCATATTGGATTGTGAGACGATATTACTAGTTCCAATCATATTCGGCATAACAACAGAATTTAAACCAGGTTGAACAAAATTAACATTCGAAATAACAGCACCAATACTATTACGATTTAAATGATGTCCAGTTACTCCAGATCTCATATTTACTTCATCAGAATTTGAAGAAGCTAAAGAACTGCATGAACCAGCTCCTTCAGTTCCCGTATTTTGATTTGTTATAGGCTCTAAACGAACTGGGGATGCATTACGTCGTATTGTATCTTCAATTAATTGTTTTGCATAGCTAAAAAAATTTAATTATTTAACATCTATATTTGTTTAAACATAATAAATTTTCTCAATTCATACTTAATCTTTTCTTCAGAAGGTCCAGTAATTTGAACAAGACGCTCTTTTGCACCAGGATTAACTAAAATTAATATTAAAATGATTAAATATGTATGTATGTAGATATATGCAAAATTTTATGTTTATGAATTAAAATAATTTAAAAAATTATGACAAAAATGTTAATGGATATATTATGAAAGAAAATATATTTGTGAAACACATATGTATATTTTATTATCTATCATACCCAAAAATTAATAAAAAACAAAATGCAAATGCTTTCAAGCTATAATTTGTTTATATGCATATATGGAATTACATATGTTTAAAATTAATTTATTAATTATTTTAAAAAAAATATTGTAAGTGCTCAAAAATGATTATATAAAAAAAAAATATTAAAATATATGTATGTATGTATAAGTTTTGTTACTTAAAAAAAGATGCTTATGTAATTAGTAAATTTTAGTAAATTTAATATAACATCACTTAAGTTTTTTAGAAAGTTTTTTCTCAAAATAGCATGCATAAATTATTTGGTTCTTATTTTTAATTAAGTGTAAGTGACAAAAAAGTATTAAGCACATTCAAGGAATTTTAGCTGAGGCAAATTAAAATTTTATATTGATCTAAAATATACTAGGATTATTACCTTTTTTCTGAGTTTTAATCGGATATTAATTTTATTTTTATATCTGTGTAGAAATAACAAAAATGCAACAATATTCAAAATGTGTTGATCTTAAATAAAACTATTTTCCAAATAAATTTTGTTCACCACATCTGTTTGTTTTTTTTTTTACTGTTTTAAAATTAATCTTTTGGAGATTTGAATTGAAATAAAACTAACCAACAAACATCGATAATAACTATGTATGTATGTTTCAAGAAGGTGTCATGTGGTGACGATTAGGAATTGAACGGAATTAAATATGGTTACCAGATTAACATATTAATTGATTACAAAAATTAAATTTATAACACAAAATTTTTTTTTGGTAATTTTTATTAAAAAAAAAATTTTCGAATTCAATTTTTGTAGGTTTTAGAGATGAGCTAATCCAGAATATATTTTTTTTTTTGTAAAATAACTAACAAAAACTACACACGCCAATTCTATTTTTCTAATAGTCTAACGCTTTTTTAAGTAATATTTGTTAAAAAATTCCAAATGAAATTTATTACAATATTTATTTTGTAAGACATCATATTTCCCATATAAGTTTCCTTATTAAAAAAAGAAGATATTATATAATATTCTTAAATTGAAATAAAAATTTTAAAAAGAAACAAATATAGTATGCACCATTGGTTTTTTGCGTTTTGGGTTTGTTTACACGTGCATTCGTTGAGCGTATGCCATATGTTACATATTTAATCACATATAAGTCATTTTCAGTCTGTTTTGATTTAAATAGAAGTAGAATTACAAGTAACAGTGAAATTTATATTAAAGTCATTAAAGTCTGCTAATATCACTTCTTTCGCCACACCACAAATCTCACTCTAAATTTTTCTGAATCAAAGATAATATAAGTGATTATTGAAAATTGTGTTATAAATTACAAAAAACAAAAATTTAATCAAAATTTTAACCTAGAATTCTTATATGTTTTAAGAACGTTATAATCAATTATATAAAAGCTATAAAATTAACCGGAACGTTAATTTTAATTTTCTTAAGTTTTATAGATGCATAGCGTGAAAAAAACGAAATAAAAATGACAACGAGGGAAATGCAAAGATACGTTCAAAAATGTAAAAGTTAATTAGCTTTCGAATCGCATATTTATAAAAAGTTTTATTGAAAAACAACAAAAAAAAAATACTTCTTAAATAAAATTTTTGATATTTTGATTTATTCAAATAAATTTATTATTTTATTACAATATTGAAAATATTGAAAAGAAGTTTTTATAAATATAATAAATTAATATAGCGCAGTATTCTTTATATATACGTAAATGTAGCTTACCAGATAGATGCATATAGGATATGACAATGTTATGAATGAATAAATATGCGAATCGTAAGTATTTATAAAAACCACACACGATGCAATGCTTAACAATTATTAATCACAGCAAAAATTATTTTGTAATCTAATAAATTAATGAGTTAAAACAAATAAAATAAAAATATAAAATTAAAACAGATAAAAGTTATGGTAATAGCGAAAGTAACTTTTTAATTATTTGCGTGATGAACGATTTAAATTGCATATTTTTTATTTTTTCTTTTCATTTTTTCATTTTACACTTTACCTCTTTGAAATGATATGATTGTTTCACTCAATTCTTCAATCATGTGGACACGTCTACCCTTAATTCCCATAACTAAATAATTTTTTTTTTTATATTTCAAATTTTAATGTTTATAATTTTTTTTTTTTAAATAGTATACATACATGTATAAATTTTATTTATATATAAATAATTGCAAATAAATCTTAATACAAATTTAAAAATAAAAATTAATTAAAAAGAAATTTTTAGTTTTTACCTTTGCCAGAATCGGCATTTCGTATTACAACTTCATCTTTTGAATAATTTTTACCAGGAATTTTAGTTGGTTTCGAAAATTTACCAGAGTTTCTAATCACTTCTCCAGGACCAAGAAGAGTAACTCCAGTTTGATTAATTTGATTGTGTTGTAATTGTTGATGTTGCTGATGTTGTTGCTGTAATTGTCCGCCACCACCTGTTAAGTTAACATTTCCCGTTGAGGCTGTTACCAACGATTGGGGGGAGGTGCTCATAATTGACGATTGATCAATAATCGTCCCAGTTATATTTTCAGGCTATTTTTAATTTTAATTAAAAAAAAAACAAAATGTAGAAAAAAATTATTCTATTAATATTTATGAGTAATATAATAAAATTATGAGTAAGTTATGTTAATAATACATTTAACGTATTAGAGAATTTATTCAAAAATTAATGATTAAAAAATTTTTTTAATTTTTATATAAAAATGCATTGTTCTAAAACAGTGGATATACCTCAACATTAGTTGCCTTTGCTTTATAATAAGTATTAGCCCCATCATCTTTCCACGATTTAGCTCTTAATTCAATTAATTCCAATAAATTTAATCTTGTCATTATATTTAAGCGTTCATCTTGTGACGCATTACGAAATGTAACGAAAGCTCGATCTAAAGTATCTTTCGATACAGATTCCATTTGTGGACCATGTAAACGTAAATTTTGTACCAAAAGTAACATTGCTTCTTGATTACTAATACCAGATGCTAATGTAGCTGCCACAGTTTCAATTAATTGAATTAATTCTTCGATGACAATATAATTACTTTTCACAATATTTGAACGTGATTGTGATTTAAGCGGCCTTGGCGCTTCTAAATTTTTAACGGAACGCCCTACTTGGGACATCCTTAAAGAGATTTTTCTTTTTCTCTTGAAAGTCTTCAAAATTAATACTTTAAATTTATATTTATTTTTTTTATATAAAAAAAGTCTATTTTATAATTAAAATTATTTTCTCTCGCTCGAATATAGCTTAAACTATTTTATATTTAAATAAATAAAATGTGTTCGTAAGTTTTTAATTAAATAAATAATAATAATAAAAAAAAAAAACAACTTATATAAAAACACAACAAATTATTTGAGTTTTTTTTCCAAATTTTTTCTTCTCTGTTTTCTTGCTTTTCTTTGTGATTTACACGTGAATTTCACTTTTTTACCACATTTACAAACAAGATAAATTAAAAATTAAACACAAAAAAATTAGTTTTTGGACCAAAAAAAAAACAAAAGGGATCACTTCACTTTTGTAATTGAAATAAAAATAAAATAAAAATTAAGGAACAAACAATCTAATTCAACATATACATTTGTATGAAAAAAAAAATTATAAATTAAACAAAACCTATTTTTCTTTTTAAATAAATAAAACAAATTTTAAATTAAAAAAAAAAATTAATTATCGTAAAAAAATGTTTGAAAGAATAGTTTTCTTTACGCAATCAATCACAGTCGTTAAACGTGTGCACCTCCCCCTAAAAATAGAGAAAGGAAACAAAAATCATTATAAAAATAATTTTAAATTAAAATTTTAAAAATTTTTGAAGAAAAATCGTTTACACGCAAATTTTGCATCTTATAAGTCTATTTTTTTTTTTTGTTATCTAATCTTAAATTCAAAAAATAATAAAAAAAAAAATGAAACGAAATCTTTAAGTTGATAAAATTTAATAAAAATTTTCAGACTTTGTTACCATATTTTCGCAATTTTTAAGTGTAGGTACATGTTTGGACAATAAGATAAAAATAAATATTTTATTACGCATTTATTAGAAATTTTATAAATAATATAATATTTATACTTTTAAGTCTAGAAGATCAACCCAAAAATTTTTCAATTAAAAAAAAATGGTATCAATTTTATCGAATAGTGGAAAAAGAATGAATTTAGAGCAAACATACCCATTCGGAAAACAATGTTGCCAAAATATAATAAAATCAAAATAAATGCCAAAATTTAACATAACATTTTGGAACATGAAAATCATTGTTGTAAATTTGAAATTTTAATTTAAATACTAATACAATTTTTAAACTTTAATAAAAAGAAATTTTAGATCAGAATTTCATTCGGAAAGTTCATGACTTTTCTGAATCAGAAATTTATGACTTGTCTGAATTCAGCAAATCTTAAGCAAATGCGTTTATTATTGGTTTCTGGGATTCAATAAATAAAAAAAAAAGTTTAAGTTAGATAACAAGTGTTACAATTCTGCTTTTAGTTTAAATAAACAATTCATCGGACTGAAATTAAACGTAATTCGTACCATTTCGTATTTCAGTTGATTATTAACCTTTTATTTAAATTATTTTTTTTTTAATTATTTCATTTGATATTCAAGAAATAGAAGATAAAACTAAAAATGAACCTAAACTGTTAGAAATTACTTTTATAAAAAAAATTAATTTATTTATTTACTTATTTTGATAAGAATTTTCGAAAAGATAATCTTATTTCTAGACAAAAAACTTCTTCTATATTTAAGTACAATATTTATTTAAGTACAATTTTTAAATTTTATATTAGCATAAATAACATTTTATTATATTCGAATGAATGAAAATGCGCAAGGTATTATAAATAAAATATTTCGTTTTTGTAGCATTAATAAATAGAGATCTGAGACATAGAAGTACATATACATATTACAGTCGAACTCGCTTATATGCACACCCATTTTGGCAAACTTTTTTGTGCATATATCCATATTGTGCAATTATCCACTTCACGCTTAATTGCAAAAAAATTGCATATATGCGTTGGACGGCTATATGCAAAAAAATTGCAATTATGCGTTAAACCTTTTTTCGAAAATTGTTAGTCCCACATAAAAATTGTTTATTCATATTAATACACGTATGTATTATGTAAATCTATTTGTAAGTTTTATTAAAAAATAAAATTATAATGGTTAACAATTCATTAGTTTGAATATAAAACAAAATAAAAATTAAATTTGTTTGTAAAAAAAAGCATTTTAAGGAATTGCATAGTTAACATATAGATCTGTTTACGTTTTGTACGTGTTATAAAAAAAAAGTAAAAATGACTAACAGAATTGTACGTACAGAATTGCATTGGAATTACTTTAGACATACATGTACACATGTGCATGTATAGTATGTACATATCACAATTATTTTATAAAAATAATTCTTTAATTATTTTGGCTTAAACAATAATCAGATATTTTTTTCTGTTTCAATTCTTTGCCTTTTAAATATTCTGTAATAATAATATCTTCTAAATTTTCTATACCTTCGCATGTTACAATATTTTTACAGTTTTTAAAATAACTTTGAATGATTTTGAATGAGTTTACAACTTCTTTCATTGTATCATGCATAAATGTAATTCAATCCGTACAAATTTTAAATATTACGTCCGTATTCACCCGCCTTTTTGACACTTCAATAAATTTCAAAGTTAAATTTTTATGTCAAGTTTGTACTAGGGATGACAGTGTATTAGGGATATATTGAATACTAAACTTTATTTTCTATGTCTTACACCAGATGGCACACACCAACATTTTTTTATTATTTAATTGTAAAAAAAAATTTTGTGCTTATAAGCGAAAACTTTTGTATGAAAAAATTACAAAACTGTCAAAAAATTGTATGCTTATAAGAGTTTTGTGTTATTAAGCGAGTTGCAGTTAAACGTTATAAATAGTATGAAGAATTATAGAAATTGCATGTGGGCAAAATATGCTGTGCGCATAAAGGAGTTTTGCTTATATGCGTGTTGCAATTAAGCGAGTTCGACTGTATATAAATATTTTTGAATAGATTTGAATTTTCAGTTTGAATTTTTTTTTTGTCAGTCCGTCGAAATAATTTAAAAATTTTATCAATGAAATTGTTACATTTTCGAGTAGTTGTTTATGAGCAGTATATTTTCGAGTAGTTTTGTAGTATCCTCAAAATTGTTTAACAGATACTTTTAGAATTTTTGGGAGATATTCGTATTATTATTGTTGAAAAGGTCAATTTAGCTGTATCTACATATATATATATATATATATATATATATATATATATATATATGTAAATTATAATAAACTAAGCCTATACAAATATTGTTCTTATTTTTTGTTTTAATTAATATTTTTTATCAATTTTTAATAACTAAAGATATAATTTTCATGTTTTCTAATTTAAGCTTTTTCCACATTTCTACTAAAAATTTAAGAATTACATACATAAATTTATAAATTACATACATAAATTATGTACTTAATTAAGCACCTATTTATGTACATAATTTATATTAAATAAAAATCACATGGTGTTTATGAAAATAAGGAAAATTGTTTTATCTATTTTCAAGTACGATACTGTCAAAACTCTATCCAATATTGTTTAATTCCTTAATTATTTCTTACATTAAAATTTAACTAATTTTTTAATTATTTCATTTATATTTTTTAGTTAAATATACAAGCATATCGTTATTCGTTATCTTCATTTTCTACACATAAGTCAAATTATTAAAAAATAAATTTTGAATAAATTTTCAATAATTATGTACTTTTCTTATTTATTTTATAATAAATTGTAAATATGTAATTATTATTAAAAAATCTGTGTTTTTATCATTTAAATTATGAAAATAAAAAAATTTTTTTTTGTTGCAAAATTTTTAAATTATATTTTCTAATACCATCAAATAAATTATTTTTTTTTTTATTTCACAAAATTATAAATTGCAATTATATATTCAATTTTAAATTCACTTAAATTTCAATAAATATATTTTTTGATTTTTAAGCATTTTTGTAATTTTTATTAAATTAAAAATCATAATTTAAGAACAATGTATTTTTTTATTTGTCATTTTATTCCTATGAGATTAGTAATTTTTATTTTTAAATATTAATTAATTTTTAAATTTCGGAAAAAAAAAACAAAAAATAAAGGGTTCTATTCTAATTAACTATCGTCTAATCGAGAAGAATATTTAACTGAAATATGAAAATAATTTTTTTTTTTCTTGTACACAATCAATTAAGTACGATAATGTTTTTTTTTTCGATATTATCTTTGAAGCCATATCTAATTTTAAACTAGTTCACTTCTACTTTCTTTTCAGAAATCAATATGAATAGAAAAAAGCAAAAATTAGATAATAATATAAAAGGAGAGTAATGATAAAAATTGTTATACATAATGCTTATTTATTTCAACTATATAGATAATATAGCTATATGTATGTTCAAAATACATGAATGCCAGCTGAAAATATAAAATTACATTGAGAAAGAAAATGAAAAAAAAAATAAAAAAAAAAACAATTGGAGGGAAACACAGTTACAATGGACAGTTTTTAATTGATTAAACTTTTAATTATTGCACTAGTTATTTGATAGTTACTTGTTGATTATTCCCTTTTCAAGGCTGTTTTTTAAATCTAAATACATACATACGAGTATGTATAAATGTAACATACCCAATATATTTTATTCTATTTAAAACTTTTGCTTCCTTATCATTCATTAGTTTAAAGGTAAAACTGATTTGAGTAGAATTTTCAATTTTTCAAGAAAAATGTAATTATTTTTAATTTATCAATTATATAAAATAGGAAAATTTTGTAACTAATCGGTCCTGGACATGAGTTTTGATGAGTTTCCAAGCAGGCTCAATGATTTGTCTAAATGAAAAATAGGTAGGTACCTACGGTGCCTAAAAAAAAATATCAATTTGTTAAAAAAAGAAAACTGAACTTTCCAATAGGTTTAACATTTAAATTGAATCAATTTAATTTAAAATGATAAGAAAAAAATTAAAATCTTCACATGATGGGCTAAAATGTAAATAAATTTTATAGATTTAATACAAACAATTCATTCTTTTCTTTTATTAAAACCTATATGCTGGAGAAAGTCTAGAAATAAAAATTACTTTAAATATAAAAAATTAATTTTTAAATAACAAATTGTGCATTTTGTTTACATATATAAGAATTAAATTAAAAATAAATATTAATATGTAAGTAATTATAAAAATTTTTCTTATATGTATTTAAAAAATGGTTTCTGATCTTAAAAAAATGCTATATTCAATAATATCTGATACATGTTATGAGGAAGAAAAAACTGCAGGTTAATTCACTTTTATCATTCGGAACAAAATACGTACCTACCTACCCTAATAGTACAAAGAAGTTTTTAAGCACGAAATTCAATTCTGTACCTCAACTATGCCTCTAAAACTAATAATTGCTATTGAAATTACTATAACTATCAATTAAATTTTTAAGTTTTGAATTTATATGAAAAATAGAAATATTAGGAGGAACCTATGTATATCAGAGTACTCGTATATCATAAGTATATCAACTTTTACTTCTAAATGTACACAGACATTTGCACTTATGCCTCTTTAGCAATCTAATATTTACAGTCTAAAATAAGAGTAGGTATAAAAACTTATTTATGATTATTACTTTTTCCCTAATATTTTAAATGGGGATTCAATATGATAAGGATTTCAATAAAAGAAAATAATCCTTAAATCAGCTGGTTTTGTTTTTAAAAAATTTTTTTTTTGTGACATGCGTTGTACTTTAAAAATTTATTTCAAGACCATAATAATTCTGATAATTTATATTATTATGATAGGATTGCGACGTAATAGCTTTCCTTTAAAAAAACTTTTTCAATTATTCGATTTTATAATGATTTGACATCATATTTATTAAATAATTGTTTAAAAAAAATTATTAGCAATATAATAGTCCAAAAAATTCTATTCATGGAAAAATTTTGTACCAAATGTTAATTTCCAAATATTTTCATACTTTAGTGAATCATTAAACCCACACACGTTCAATTTCTTAACAAAATATCATTGTTGAAGGGTTACACTTTTATATTGAATTTAAGCATTTTACTTAGCATTATATTTTTTAATTTTTAAATTATATAGAAAACCAATTAATAATAATCACATTTTAATATCCTATATTATAAATTTCAAATTAATTTGAGAGAAATTTACCTGTAAATTTTTCCCAAAGACACAAAATATTCTTCTGTGTTCAACACTTTCGTTAAATTTTCGTAAATGATGTTTTATGTTGGTATGTCTGGTTAGGAATTTGACACAATTATGGAAATGCCACAACTCTTTGAATTTCTGTAATATTTTGGTTCCACATTTTGTTTATGCAAAGAAATGAAAAATAATTTTATTTAGTAAAACTTTGCATAATCGTTAAAATAATATAAAAAGTTTTGCAAGCACAAGATGTTAATAAATAAAAATCAAAACTCAAAATGAATGAGAATTTCTTGCACAATATTATAAAAGTTTAGAAAAAACAATATCAAGAAAATTTATGTATATGAGTTAATTTACTAAATAACATTGAAAGTGAGGCAAGACTGTTCGTTGCAGTTTTTCGTTAAAAATTTTAAGTAGCGAAATCAGCTGGAAAACACATGCATTTGTTTATTTTCATTAATTGCAAAGTTCATTGTTTTATAAAATAAAAATCACAATGGAGAAGGGCCAATTGTGTTATTATTGCGAAGAGAAAATAAAATGTGAAAATATTTTACAATGTAATCAGTGTTTAAAATCATTTCACATAAAATGCCTAAAAAGACCAGGAACACCGGGTGATCTTTGCGGTGATGTTTTTTTTGATTTTACTTGCATTAGATGTTCTCCATTAGAAGAAATATTTGTGCGGAAAAAAATTCCATGGTTGATTGTTATTGTTCTAGCTATTTATAATCTTACAATTCAGTCACAAGGTAAAAAAAAAACTAAAATAAATTTTTGCAAAAACATCTATTTAAACAAGAGTTTTTAAGGTTTAAGTCATAATGGATATTTTCATTGGCGATCTCACATATCTGCTTGGGTTGATAAAAATTGGAAGTACTTGTTCGGTGCTAACATTAAACAACGAAAAAAATGGTATGGAACTTTATCTGGAATTCTTTCAGCATATAGTCCGGAATTCTTTGAATCTGGAGCAAATAAAAATTTGACTGATTCTGGATGGTGGAAATTAAGTTCTAAACAAACTCCCAAATATTTTATGAATCTTTACGAAAATATACCAAAACGGCAAAATAAATTGCGTTCAAAAGCTGAAATATCAAAAAGTGAAATAGCGAAAAAAATAAAAACTGAAGAATCAGATAATCATGAAGAAAGCGAATCCTCGGATGTTGAATCAGACGACAACTATATTTGTAGTCGATTTGTTCCCTATATGGGAAGAAAAAGAAAACGACATCAATCAGAACAATCAAGGAATAGTGAAAGTTCAGTTAAGTTAAGTTTGATGAATTTTTTAGCGGAAAATATTTCTTCACAAACTCCTTTGCTTGATAATTCCGCAATATCGCCAAACATTTATGAAGATTTCACTTTTAATTCAAATACAGATATTTCGTCATTATTGTATGAGAATAATTTGGATCTTAATATCGATAATGTTCCAAAACAAAATCAAGATTTTCAGCCTAGAATAATTCAAATAACTAACTATCAAAACTTTGAATCGGACTTGAAAAATGAATCAGTGAAAGTGAATGCTATAAATGATTCAGATGAATCTTCTTTATCTGAGTCACAACACTCAGATGAAGATGATGAAAGTACAATAGTTGAATTTGAGAAAAGTTTATTTACTAAAAGACCAACACGTCCGTTGCCTTGGCTAAAACGACGTAGTACAGTTTTACATGATAGTAAGGATGCTCAAAGTTTATCAGAATATGATGAAAAAAAATTGTATATGGCTTTGAGGAGAGTGTTTACTATAGAAAAAGGTTCTAAATCATTAGAAATACCAACAGATATAAGACTTTTGTATCGTAAGTTGAGCTTAAAAATATTAAAAAAGCAAACTGGACTTAAGCAATTTGATTTAGATAATTATATGAAAAATAATTGGGAAAAAGAAAAATCGGTCAATATTTTAGATAGATATTTTTGTTTTATAACTGATTCACTCATTCATACTGTAGAAAATAGTAAGAGAACATTTTTGGCACAACTTTCAGGTTCAAATGACTATGAATTGTTTGAATCACCTCACACATCAAGAGTATTAATGCCTTTTATATATAGAAATTCAACATATTTCCCAAATTGGATAAAACTAATGTGTGAAATTCAATTTTCAAGAATTGGTAATTTGAGTAAAAAAGTAGAACGTTCAACTATTGATTTCTGTTATGTTCGTCCATATCATATAGCTGGAGTAAATAGTTTGCTGCAACAGATGTTCTGGCCTGGAATTGACATGTCTGAGTGTTTAGCTTACCCAGATTTTAGTGTTGTAGCATTATACAAAAAGTTAATTGTTGGTTGTGCTTTTATGGTTCCAGATGTAAGCTATAATGAAGCTTATATTTCATATATGGCTGTGCGGCCACATTGGCAACGTTCCGGTATAGCAAGTTTTATGTTGTATCATTTGACACAAACATGTATGGGAAAGGATATAACATTGCATGTTTCCGCCTCAAATCCTGCAATATGTTTGTATCAGAAATTCGGTTTTAAAATCGAAGAATTAGTATTAGACTTTTATGAAAAATATTTACCAATCGAATCAAGTCAAAGTCGGCATGCCTTTTTTTTAAGATTGAGAAGATGAAACTTCACTAGAGTTTCAATAAATTTGTTTTCTATACAGTATTATATATAGTATGTATATATTTGTTTTCTGTCGTAAAAAAAAGGAACGAAATTTATGAATGAAAAAAATAAATATTGTTTTATCAATGAATGTTATTTTTTTTATAGAATATACAGTTTTAATTATTTTAACTAGATAAAAAGCCTGTCACAGCTATTTAAACCTCTAATAAAAACATTTATGAAACTTACATAAACAGAAATAAAATAAATGATTTTTAAATTATCATATAATTAAAAAAAAGTGTAATACAAAATAATTGGCTTAACTTTTTCATAATATCTATCTACATCAAAAAACTATCTTTTATACACTATACAGCCTTGAATTATATATGTATTTGTTCTATTTCGAGTTTTGTTTTTTTTTTGCTTTCTAATTTTTCACTAGTTTATTAAATTGCTTTAAAATTTTAATAAAAGTTTAATTTGTAAAAATTATAAAAAGACTACATTTATATTTTATAAAATAATAATATAAAAATTGTCTACTAAAATAATACAGTTAAATTTAAACACAAAAATAATTATTCTCTCAAGAGAGGCTCTCTGTCACTTCCAGTTCCATCATCTACTGTTTGTCTAACTTGACGACGAGATACTCCAACATCGGAAGGGTTTAATTCATCTACTGAACTTGATCCCGCCATATTATTTTCCGCTATAGCCATTCTAAAAAATGTAAGAAATTAAAATTAAATGAAAACCAAAAAAATTTATTTTCATAAATATGTACAATTTGTCGTTATATTCTTGTCGCTGTCTAGGACTTAAATTTAGATTTCCTTTTTTAGATTTATCATAGATCAAAATGACTATTGTGGCCGTCAGAGAAACTAAAGTATACAAAACAATTAATAAATTTCTAAAATCGTCAAATTATTTATAAATTTTTACTAAGTAACCATCCAATGAAGAAAAGCTCTAAATATAAGTAATTGCTGTTGGTTCTGTCAATAATCATGCCGGAAATAATGGATATTACGGCAAGACCTAAATTTTGAACAGACTGACATCTAAAATAAAATAAATTTTATAAAAAAAAATTTAAAGAATTTATTTTTTATTTACATTCCGTATGCGCTTCCTAATTGATATTCAGGTATAATTATAGCCACCAATGGCCATAAGCTGCTTGCCAATAATGCATATGAGAATCCCATTAAAACCATTCCTACATAGGGTGATAGCATAGTAAATGCTAATAAGGAATGTGAGCCAATAGTTGCAATTGTTGCAAACAAAATCCAATATACATTTCTTCCACATTTATCAATTAGTAAACCGAAAAGAGGGCTAGTGATTGCTGATATTATGTATATAATAGAATTGCAACTATTTGCATCTTCAGGTTTAAAATGCCATTTTTCTATAAAAAATGCCCTGCAAAAAATGTAAAGTGGAATAATATCAACAAATTTGAAAAGTTAAAGACTTACTTTCCTAAGGCGATAAAGGGAAATATTGCTACATAATATGCCACGCAAATTATAGAAACCATCCAGAAAGTTAATTTGAACGTAAAAATATCGCTTAACTTAGCAGTTTCTCCTGATGGGTTGTCTATTCTGCGTGTGATACGCTGTGCCCTTTTATCCATGAGACCTGAACATTTCAACAATCATTAAAAATGTATATTATTGATAAATAAATACGCACCTAGTATTAGAGCACATATAAAAGACATAACACACGTTGCCGATGCTAATAACAGAACAACTCCTGTACATTTATAGCCTTCGTAAAATTGTGAGACGTATTTATAAACGTGTTCCATTACAGCAAAGTTTACTGTACTACCAACACGAGCAAATGACAATTGTAAACCAAAAACCATATTAAGTTCTTTTCCTTTAAACCATAGGACAGCATAGTTATTTTGTGCAACAGCTAATGATTCAGCACCAATTCTAATATAAATATGAAGGTACCGATTATATTGTATTTTTATAAAGAAACAATAAAATTACCCGAAAACAAATCGACCAACAACCATTAGCCAAAATGCATTTAACAATGCCCCAAAAGCAAACAAAAATTGACCAATTAGTAAAATGAATAAATAAATTATGGTTCCAAGTCGAATTCCGAAAACTCGGTCAATCAAAAAACCTCCAATGAAGCACAGTATAACATTTGGCCAAGAGTAAATTGAGTACAACAAAGTGAATTGAGTGGTTGATAAACTAAGGTCCTCTTTGAAATGATCTTGCAAAGCTCCTGGATTATCGTAACAAAAATACGATCCTAAAAATAAAAATTAAAATTTTTGTACATACTGATATGTATATATACATATTAGGTCTGTTCATTTCACTTTTAAAAATAAATAAAGGGTGCGAATGATTTTACTGGGGAAATTAAGCTCTTGCTATAAAGTTGAAACTGCATAACTTTTATGAAAGAGGTGCACTGATAATCTTTGTGCTTTGTATATTATAATAACGACTTGGGTAGAATTTCTTGGGTAGAATCCATATGTCCATATGTTTTAATATTTGGGTAGAAATTCGTAGTAAGAATTTATAATTATATTAATTATAATTATAATTTCTTACAAATATTTTTTATCCATTCATAAAGAAGTTATTAAGATGTCTAAAGTATTTCAATGAATAAAGAATATGAATTTTCCAAAATTCAGATTACATTTTTAAAAAGATAATTTTAAATTTTATGGTGCAGTTTTAACATGGAACTTCCCAAGCATTGAAACTCTACTTTCAGTGTTCATATAAAATTTTAAAATGTAATCATATTTATTTTAGATTGTTACGAATGCTCAATATTATTATAACAAATGCAGAAAGTCGATTAAAAACGTATTTAATATCATCTACAGAAAATGTTTAACAATTACATATATATACATATTTACATTTTGTAAGCGATTAATTTTAGTTTTGTTTCAATCACTTGTTGATTTTATGAATTCTGATAAGAAAATTAGAATAAAGTAATTGTACTCGATTGTCTTTGTTATTTTGTTTCTTTTTTATATTATTCCACAGTATTTAAATGATTCATAAAATCTTTTAGTTTTAAATTTACATTTTTTCTGCATGATTGCTATAAATTTTTCGAAATTTTTTTTTAATAACTTGATATTTTAAATGTAATATGATCAATGAACTTTTCATGAACTCATAACAATAAAAATTTTCTAGTTTTCTTTGAAAACTTACCAAAACCAAGCAAACACATAAAAATTAAAGCAATGAAACGATGAACTTTGGAAAATGGGTTGCAACATGCCGTTGCCCCACAACCTGTCAATTCTGGATCTAGTTCATTATCCGTTTGATGGTAATTTACCGGAGCATCATAATTAGGTCCATCTTCTTCATTTATTATGGGTTCAGTATCTTCGTTTTGCGGCATATTTGATAGTATTTATTTTTACCAAAAGAAAAAAAAAATAGTCCGTTTAATCCTTTTTTAATTGTTCCTATGAGACGTTAAAAAAAATATTCAATTTCTTACTTTTTGATAAGCTCGCATAATATTAATTTAAAAATTATTCAATGAGTCATATAATTTTTTTTTATCACATACCAGCATTTATACTTCTTTGGGATTTTATCTTCGTTATGTTACTGAATATGTACTTTTAGATGTGCCAATTTAGGGTGGATGTCTATTCTTTTATCTATAAAACATAACAAAATATATTTTTAGATTCTTCTATAAACAATTGATATTTGAATTGATAATTGAAAAACTTAGATTAGCCTTTGAAATTTCTAACAAAAGATATATTATATAAATAACTCAAATTTACATATGATGAAGTTCATTATGTTCAAAAAATTAATAAATATTTTTGAGTGCTAACTAGTTATATAAGAAAAAAACATAAAACTATTTAGTAAGTTACACATATCACTTCCAACGATTTAAACTTGATAATAACAGCAACAAGTGTATATTGTCTATTCCTATTTTTAATGCAAGTAGGTACCAATCTATGTACATAAATGTTTCTAAATTAAATTTTGTTACAAATCAATATTTTTTTATTTATTTTATCAATATTTCTATCCAAATTTATCAAATAATCAACAAAATTTATTTTAGCACATATAATTTATTTTACTACGTATTACCTTGGCATTATAATTATAATTATGTGGGTATAAATATACATAGCTTACTTATTAAAAAATCTTGATTTTATATTTTTTTTACTTACATATTTGTTTGTTAGTTTTAAAATAGTTTAAAACATAGACCTTTCAGTTTTGAAAAATTACACGTAATTCCGATATATTTATTAAAATGGGCTTTTTATTTTTAAGTTCAATTTATGAAAATTTTATTTAACTTGGTATTTTTTTTTTAAACTATTTACCTTCCCCAACCTATAGATTATTAGATTCCCGATTCTTTGTGTATTTTGAAGTTCACAAATTTTAGAATGAAAATAGAAAAAACGAAAATAAACTCGAAAATCGAAATATCATTTGACGTTTCAATGTTACAAAGTGAAAATGAAATTAAATAAAAATTATGGCGGAAAAACATTTCATTTCTAAACGCATATTGCAGCAAGAATAAACTTAATTTTAGTGTTTAATTTTAATGATTGATATTTACTATAAATACTTCTTAAATGTAATAAACTTCTTTGCGAGACAAAAACTAAAAAATAACCCAGTAGAATTTCAATTCCTGACAATCAGTTTGTTTTTTATTTTTTCGGTTCACTTGTATTTATGAAGCTGAGAACGCTACACTCCGTATAAAAAAATCCCAAAAAAAAACTTGGTGCACTTAAAATAAAGAACTTACTACAGTTTTATAATAAAGAAATAAAGAAACGGATGTTAAAATAACACATTTATTAAAAAATAATAAGCTTCGATGATAATTAAAAAAACTTAAAGAATTTCATTTTTGACAACTTTAAAAACCCAAGAAATTTTTTTTCATGTAAAACCACATTAGTTGTGTACTAAGGTGCTTTACAGATTTATAAATAAGTTATTTTTATGAGCCTTATAAAAAAACAGCTGACTGTCAAAAATTCAAATTAATATGAGTTATTTTGTAATTCTACTTCGTGATGGAATTTCTAGTATTCTACAATTGCATGTTAACATCACGTGCCAATGTGAACTTTATGTTGTGTTTTCAAATAGAGTATTGAAAATACATGACATTATTGTTGACAGTGAAAATTGTGTTTTGATTAAAATTTGTTCTGTTTTTAAGTCAATTTCATATGCTAATTAGAATCCTAAAAAATAATAAATTTCGGATTAATTTCATTTTTATGAAATATGATTATAACTGGCTATAACATAAATGATCTTTAAATCATTTGTAATAATTAAGCTCTGAAGGGAAGAAAGACTGGTAATGGAAAACGCAGAAGTAGAAATTAGTACTCCTGGTAGTAGTGAAAATCCGTTTGAAGATTCGATTGATCATCCTTACGAAAATGAAGATATTTCGGATAATGAAGCAGAAGATCAGAAACATAGTATCATTCAAGATATTAGAGAAGAGATCAATGTTAATCAAATGGCATTGCTAACGCCCACATCGGCTGTGACGGACGGTGTTACAAAGTCTGAATCTTTTTCAAGTAATAGAAGTAAAGATTTAACCTCATCAACAGAAAATTTATTAGATGATTCAGCTTCTGGGAGCTCTCAGTATAGTACAGCTGATGAATATTATATTGACAAAGAGTGGCTAATGCAAAAGAAGCACGTATTCATATTAAGTGACGCAGGTAAACCTATTTATTCTTTACATGGCAGTGAAGACAAATTAGCCTCAATATTTGGTATCATGCAAGCATTAGTAAGCTTTGTTCAAGGTAGTAACGATGCAATTCAATCTATACATGCTAATGGAATTAAATTTGTGTTTATGGTGCGAAATTCTTTAATACTTGTCGCTGCATCTAGATCTAAATTAAGCGTCCATCAAATGCAGATGCAACTCAACGATGTTTATAATCAAATTTTGTCGATACTGACATATTCTCATATGACTAAAATATTTGAGAAACGAAAAAATTTCGATTTAAGACGGTTACTAGCTGGAAGTGAGCGTCTTATCGATCATTTACTAGTCAATGATAGCAGTAACAGAAAAAGTAGTCAATGTTTTAATTTTTTTATATTAGAAGTTCATTCTTATTTATATTTTCAGTTTCTAATAATGTTTTTACATTTTTAACAAATTCAATAAGGGTTTTACCCATGTCAGCATCGGTTCGTAGTAGTATAACTAGTGCTATTCAGAGCAATTGTTCAAAAATACAAAATTTAGTTTTTGCAGTACTCATAGCTAACAATAAATTAATATGTTTAGTTAGAATGAAGAAGTATTTCATTCATCCTGCAGATTTAAGGTATTTAAAGAAAAAAATTTATAAAAAAACTAAATATAGAGTGTTATGTTTAAAATATTATCATACACTTTCTTTTATATTAAATTATATTCATATTAAATATATTTATTTTATAACAAAAAAGTTTTAACAAGGTATTTTTTAATATTTCAGGTTAATTTTTAATTTAATAGAATGTTCGGAAAGCTTTAAAACAGCAGAAAGTTGGACACCTATATGCTTACCAAAATTTGATATGAATGGTTTTCTTCATGCTCATGTCTCTTATTTAGCGGATGATTGTCAGGCATGCCTTCTTTTATTATCTGTAGATAGAGATGTATTTTTTACGCTTTCTGAAGCAAAGAAAAAAATTACTGAAAAACTAAGAAGATCTCATTGTTTAGAGGTAATAAATCTACAAATTAATAACAAAGGTGTAAATTTGGCTTCAGCTGGAATACCAGAACTTCGTCACTTCTTGTATAAACCGAAATCAACCGCCCAATTACTATGCTCGGAAATAACAGCACCGTATTCATCCATATCAGAATTCGAAAGATTAGAAGCTATTTATTGTAAATTGCATCATAGAATACATAATTTGTCTATGCCATTAAAATTGATATACGAAGTAAAAGAAAAAGAAGTAATTCTTGCGTGGGAAACGGCAGAATACGAATTATATGCTACATTTGAGCCTACTGTTGACAAATCCTTGGTTATAAAACTTGTTAACAAATTATTAAAATGGATTGAAAAGGATGAGGAGAATTTCTTTATTAAATATCATCCAACTTTCTAGAATACAATGTTTTCTTTTTTCTTTTCTTAAAAATTGATTATTACATTTGTATTTATCAAAAATTGTCGAATTTCGTTCAAAATGATATAATTAAAAATGTAGATTTTATTTTAAGTTTTAATTTTTTCTTCAAATACATAGCTCACAATTAAATAATTCTTTAATTACTATTACTATAATTATGTAACTACGTATTATAAATTTTTTTTTAGTTATCAAAGATATACTTACTTGTAAAAATAATTTTAAATATTATACCTTTATTAAAACTATTAGATAGAAAATAATGATACAAAATATAATTTTATATAATTTAAGGTATTTAAATGAAATTGTATGAAAATACGGAAAATATTCTTATATTTGTGATTTAAAGAAAAAATTTAGTAAATATAATACTTAAAGCAATAATTAAGAGATTTTATAATTAATTTTATTTTAAATCCATGATTTATTTTGTCAATCTTTTGCAATTAAACAAGAAGTGTATATGTGTGTTTTAGGAAATGTAAGTAGTTGTTCGGACATATCGATGAACGGGGAAAGTGAAACAAAAAGTTCTCATATCAAACTTTATTGGCCTGCGATCTGCAAGTAAATGTAATTTTACTACCGTCTGGAATTGTTAGATTTTTTAAAAATTTTTTATTTTGTCATGCTAAGATAGTAGAATATTTCCCAAATTTCGTGATTTTTGAATAAGTACTGTTTTAGTGCACAAAGGATCTATGTATATTAACTATAATACTTTTAGATTTGCAGATGTATACATATATGTACATATGGATTTAACTAGAAGTATATGAAAAATCAATTATGATTTTACTTGTTTAAAAATTATTTAATATTTTATTGTTTCAGTTTTTTTGATTTAATAAAATTTTGAGCGAATGCTATTAATTCTAAGACTTTTCATACATAAATTTCTCTACAGTGTGCTCACTTTTTTTCATTTTAATTATCGTTCTATCCAAAATCCACAAGTTTTATAAAATTCATATACACAAACACACATATATTTAAATTGTATATATAACTTGCATTATTGAATGATAAAAAACTGATAAGACTTTTGTTTTAAAAAAAACAAAGTTCAACAAAAGCTTTCTTTTTATTTTGTAATTATTGTGTGTGTGTTTTGGCACAACTTAAGTATATGTATTGCATATTTATCTATTTCGTGTGGGGCAAATATTGTAATAGCAACAGCACAACCAACAAAAAGTACAACCAACTTTTAAATGAAATATTTTTACCAAATACATAAGTAAATACCTGAGATATGCTATTTCATTATGCGTGCCGAATAATCTTGATGTTGCGCACATATCTACTGTATAAAGGTATTTGAATATTTATATGTAAAAAAAATATTCTACAATATAAAGAGCTTTTTTTTAAAAGTAGGATAATAGAAAGAAACAAGGGAAAAGTGATAAGAAAAAAAAAATAGTGAGAAAACCTTGATACTCTTCACTTTTATCCCACTTTTTTTTTGTATGTATATATGTTGCATGAAAATTGTAAGGAACTCTGGAAAATACACAGTAGGTCGATGGCATTGTTAAAAAAAAAACTTTTTTTTTGGTTGTCTTATATTATTTTTATATTTAATTCATTAATAGACCTCAATGTACGCATGTTTTTAAGGACCATGTGATATTTATTTTTCTACAAAAAAAAATCATAGTGAATTTTAATTTATTTAAATATTATATAATTAAAAAATAGTACGAGTTCATATTATGTGTGTTGAAAAACATTTTTCATATTTCTTAGAATCATTTTTTTTTTTTAGAATATTGCAGTCTTCAATAACTTGCATTAATTTCTTTGAATAGAACTTTAATATTTTAAATTATTTTAGAATTTTAGAATTAAATTTTAGAATTTATTAACGAATTATACAATTCATAAATAAATTTTATTCTAAAAATCCAAGGAAAAAAATTTCAAAATTAGCGTAGCGTGTAAAAATTACAATTTATCATAGGTACAATGTGTTAGCCAAAAAATTTTAATGATTGGTAATAATTATTTTTTTCAACCAAACACTTTGTAGCAGTTTCCATAGGATTTTTATTGTTATTAATTTTTTTTCATTCCACAATTCAACTCCTCAATAAGCTAAAGTTCTCAAGTCTTATCATTCGAATAAAATATAAAAATTTTTATATAATTAATATTATCCCTATAATAATTATTTATAATGCATATTTGCTTCTAAAATTAAAAAAAAATTACTAAAAAAATGAATTCAAATGTAAAAAATACAATCTTTTGTTTGTTCTCTTTTTAATATATGCAATTATTTAAATATTTTTTTTAAATATTTTTATTCAACATAAAAATTTGAAAAATTTTTCATTTAAAATAAGTCATTAATTGCTATTACTCTATTTTTGAAGTCCAACAGAACATATAAAATTTAGGTATGACAATACAAAAATATAATTATTAAAGAAAAAGTATTTAATCAATATAAGTATTAAAAACAAAAATACAATATTTATATATGTATGTAACACATATTTTGAGGCTTTCATCCGGAATTTATATTAATTTACATCCGGTAACAATATCCTTAATTTATGTTATATAGAACATATATATGTATATTATATAAATATATTTGCACTGTAAATATAAATAATTATATACATCTACATAGGTATAATTAAATATTTCAGTATGAATATTATGTATTTGTATATATGTATATGATTTATTTTCTATTATATACAACGTAGATTTTTTAATTTTCTGTTCCATTTTCTCTCAGTTATGATCTGGAGTGCTGTTTTTTTTTTTTTAAATTAAATGAAAACATATATAATATTACGTACATATGTACATACAGGTTATTTAATTTATATTATATTTATATTGTATATAAAGATCAAATACAGGTTATGATTTTAATTTTTTATATTAAAATAAAATAATTAATTTAATTTTGATTTTTCAAAATTAAATTAATTAATTTCAAAATTGAATTCAATTCGCGCATTTATAATAATGTTTATATGAATTGCATATGTATGTACTTATATATTATAAAATTTTTGAATATTAAAATGAAATTAAAATCAATTTTTGTCCAATTTCGTTTTCATAATACAGACCATCCTTCATATACATATGTACGAGTATGTATTATTTTCATACAAATTTTATTTTTTAGCATTTTAATATATTAAGAAGATTTTTATATTGACAATAAAATAATTTTATTTATTAAAAATATTCCAATTAGAAAATTAGGAATTAAAATTAAAAATAAAATTTTTTGTAAACAGCAATTTTTTTGTATACTTATCAAAATTCAAATGATGATTTCAAAATCACTCAGTTTGAAAATACACACATTAAAACAAATTACGAGTATTTATGTGTGTATATATAAAGTACCATTTGACGCTTTTCGATTTTTGTTTTTATTCAAAGAGAAAATACAGAGTAGGTATTTTGGTACCTTTTTTTTTTTTTTAATAAAAAAATAATATTTTTCCATCTCTGTTATTTGAAAATTTTTACAAAATTGTTTAAGCTTTTATATACATATTTATATATGTAAACATTTATATCTAATATGTAGGTTATTATATTGTATTTATGTATGAATTTGCATTTATTCTTGAGTTCACAATGTATGTATTCATATATCCCATTTAATTATACTTACATACATACATGTATTAAAAAAAATTTTTTTTTCTCCTGATGAAAGAGAAAAATGAAAATATTAAAGGTAACAAAAATACTTACGCGTATACAAAGAAAATTGTAAGGATGCTTTTTTGTAAAAACAAAAAAAAAAGCTCTTTTTTAAAACCCACCACCACACATTGTATATACAAATATATATTGTGTAAATTTATACATATAAGTAGAACAATATTACTCTTTATAAAATAAATTGTAAATAGGATTTCTTTCTATACAAACTTTCCTTTAGTAAAAAAAAAATAGGTACAAGGATATTAAAAAATATTTCATAAAAATTTTCTATGTATGTATTGTGTTTATATACTCGTAATATTGTATAATATATAATTTCATGGAACTTTTTAAAAGCAATTTACTTTACTTATTTTTATTTCATACTTTATTTTATACATATATTATATACAGAAATATACCAAAATTGTTATATAATTTTAATATTATATATAGATGAACATAGTTGTATTATAAAAACGGTATAACAAATACAAATATAAAACATAAATGTGATGTGTATGCAATAGTTTTGATCCATTTTTAGAGTTTAAATGTTCAAAAAAAAAAATCAGACCATTTGCAAAATTTAGTTGAGCTCAGAATTTTCCGGTGTCGGGACTGTATTATAAAAACTTTGAACGTTTCATTGTTCGGTTTTATTTTTCTCTAAAAGAATTTTTTTTTTCTTTTGTATTTTAGGTTTCTATTCCTAATTATTTTAAATATTAATGTATAAACATATACATATATATATACTGACATATTAAATTATAAAAAAAATTGAAAAAAATTTTTTTTTTGATAAGCAAAGGCGCGGATTCAATATTTAAAAAAGAAATAATTATTGTATTAATTTTACGTGTTTAACGATAAAAAAAATTGCATAGAAAAAAAATCATACTTATATATAGCTATATATATATATATATATATATATATATATATATATATATATATATATATATATATATATATATATACCATAATATTATGTGGATTAAATATATATTAACATACTAAAATATTGCTTGTTCATTCTGAAATTAATTCGAGAAATGCAAATAAAAATTTAAAATTCAAATTAAAAAATTAATAATTAAATTATTAACATGCATGCATACCATATATTAACATAATTTATAAATATAACAATATTATAACAGTAATTTTATTATTTATATATAGTCATATATATATAATTATGTATATGTATTATATTTATATATAAAATATAAAAATTATATTTAAATACTTTTGTTTTAATTAATCTTTTTATACATTAAGTAGCCCTACACTATAATAATAATTCAAAAAAAAAAAAACCAATAATAAATTAATAAATTAAGTTTAATATCAGAGAGGGAGACAGAGAGAAAGAGAGTTAAAAAAAATTATTAATAAGATCAGAGGCCAACGAGCAAAGAGAAAAAATTATTTGATACATTTGAAAAGAGATGAAATTCTCAAATGCAAAAAAAAAAAAATTTAAATATATGTATAGGTGTTAAAAAGAAATAAATAATATATTTTATAAATAATTTTTTTGAAAATTTCGTTTCATCATAATAATGAAAAATAAAAAGAAATTTAAAAAAAATTAATTAAAATAATAAAAAGCGGGAAAATTTTTTATTTTAATTTTTTTTCTTAAATTTTTTAATATCTTAAAAAAAATATATATCAGTCCAACAAAAACTTACAATCTTAATTTCTAATATCATATATTATAATAAATCAGTTAGCATACATTATATATACACAAACATAATAATTATATATCTATTATAAATATATAAATTCATATGAGGCCAGTGTAAATTTCTAACAAGTAGCAGAAAAGGAAAAAAAAAAATTTAAAGAAAAATTATTATACATACATAAATTATATATGAAAATTACACATATATATATATATGTATATATATATATATATGAATTAAATATAATATAAATTAATTTTATTTTAAATAATTAAGCTTATTTTCTTCATAATTATTGATATATATAAAATAAGAACTTAATTAGAAAAAATAATAATAAAAAAAATATGAATTTAAAATTAAACTAATATATAATTTTCGCATTTTGGAATTACAATATAATTCATATATATATACACATTAATAATACTAATAATATATATTATTATATATATATATATATATGCGTGAATAAATTATGATATATATATATACATAAATATAGTATACAAGAATGGTAAAATGATATTTCTCCAATCAATATATATATACTCTTATATATAGCTACTTAATTTTTAATTTATTTTATTTTCATTCTTATTTATTATATATCGTATATACATACTTAAATATTTTTGCAAATGAATCTACATATTTAAATGTTATATATATACTATATTCATAAGTATACCTTATTATGTTATTGTATATACAACTGTATTTAAAATTATTATAATATATATTACATAAATCCATACATAATATACAGTTGTACATGTATAATAGTATTTATTGGGCAATTTATTGAATATAAGAAAATGTTTGAAAATATTATATTATTATATAATAATAATAATAATAATGAGCATACATAATGTTATATTCTCTAATATTATGTGTTATAATAATTTATATATATATAAATTGTAGTGTTATATGGTTAATATAAAAATATATATATTTACATATGGTAATAATATATGTATTATTGTTAATAACTACATATATATAACATGTTATGTATATATATATAACATATATATATATATATATATATATATATATATATATATATATATATATATGTATTATTGTTAATAACTATATATATATATATATATAACATGTTTATATTCACGTACATTATTATATTTTGTGTAGGCAACAGCTAGCTTATCAAGTTCATAGTCAGATAGAAAAAAAATTTTTATAGTATAGAAGCTAGTATATATTATTATATATATGCAATATATTTTGTATATATTTATATATTTTATGAATTTTATGTAGAGTACACAAATGCAAACACATATACATGCAAAGCGAAACATAAATGCTGTATTTTGTATATTTTTATGTAGTTATAGCTTGAAGAATATTTGTAATATTATACATACATTATAAATGTGTGCAAATGAAGAAAGAAGAGAAAAAAAATTTAATAAAAAGCAAAATAAAAAAAAAAAGGAAAACAAGTAAAATTAAAAAATAAAAATTAAGGGAAATTAAAAAGAAATAAGGATAATACCCTTATTAGAAAATAATATAAACGATTTGGGCATTCAGTTTTTTCGCATTCTCTTTTTTTTTTCCTAATTTTATTTTTTTCATTTTTGTTGTCTCTTGAATTTTTTTTTCTATTTCTCTGTTTTATATTTATGGAATATATTTCCTTTTTTGTGAAATAAAATAATGAAATGAAAAAAGTAAAATAAATGAAAAGTCATCATAAAATTTGAGGTAACCGTGGCGGGAGTTCGGGTCTTTTTTTTTTAATTTTGATTTTACAACATTACTGAATTTCTGAATTTCTGTTGTTAAAAACAGGACGTAAAAAATATTGTACGTAATCGTAAAAATATTATTATGATTAAAATACAGGAATCTCATAAAAAAAATTGCATATCGTGCGGCTGTTTAATAATTATACCGTTATTGTTTAAATTATAAATACTACATTATAACATTAGTACTTATAATGCACTTGTAAACACTTTATATACCATATATCTTGGTAATATTTAAAATAATTTTTTAATTTCATATTATATTGAATTTCAATGGTTTTTTCATATATTTATGCAATAATATGAAAGTTTGAATTATTAGGCTTAAAAAAAGGTGTATAATTTCCGATTTACAGTCTATTAATATTTTAATAATTTTATATTTTAATAGAAGAAATTTCATTACGATTCCTATTAATATTTCAATATTATAATTTTATTAATAACCTTTAAGTATGTAATTTATATTAAGCATGAAATAAAGATGAAAAATTGTTGCTGAATTGTTTATTATGAAAAGAACAAAATTTTGGAATTTGGACACATGAAAGTAAAAAATTTAAGTAAATTCATAATGATATATTGTCGTAAGGTAATGACTTAAAAAAGTCAATTAGATTTGCCTAAAATATATGCAATGCAAAACATAATAACCATTTTCAAATCACTTCTATAAATGAGGCATAATTAAATTATAGCCCGATGAGTTACTATATTTATATGCAATCTATAAAATAAAGCTAAGAATCAAGTAATATTCCTATCGTCTTATAAGGTGGAATTTGTTCATAAGTACATGAGAAGGCTTATTAATTATTTGATATTAAGACATTTGATTTTATTAATATATTTAATATTAAATAATTTGATATTAAATTATTTAATTATATTCAATAAATTTTTAGATTATTATTGCTTGTTGGGCGAATAAATATTAACATTTACATTATTTTTAAGTTTAGTTAAGAAGATACCGGAAACTCTTATATTTTATAAAGGAAAAGAGTCGGTATTTTTAAAAATAAGGAATAACATAGACATTGTTCCTAAAATCAAGATTTGATGATAAGTTTTAAATATTATAATTCAAAATTCTTCTTGAAATCAAACTGTTTTATCTGCTTTTTCCTATGAATTTAACAAATTTATTAAATTATGATTGCTTTCAAACTAATTTAAGTGTGAGCTTCTTCTTAAATATTTTTTTATCTTTGAAAATACTTAAATATTTATCTCTTTCTCTTTGCATAATAAAAAAAAAAAATTGTAGTGTTGTCGTTTAATTGTAATTAATTTCCTCATAAAATTATTCCCATTTAAATTAAAGCGTTAGATATATTAGTCTTATATACATATATAGTTGGTTAATCTGATATATGTACATATGTGCTCACTTAAAATTTTTATTTTATATATTTTGCAGCATATAAAATGTTTAATATTAGCAATAAAATGTTATGTGTCAAAATTTATAGTATTATCGCGCGCCTATAAAAATTAGAAGAAGAGAGAATATGTTTTATCGTTTTTTTTTCAATACTTACGTATTACATACATATATATATGTATATGCAAATAATATATGAGCTTACATGTACATTAGTTTGTGTGGTTCACTATATAAAATTTTAATGAAAATCTCAACATGTATATAAAGTTGTTTAAGGAGAAAGTATATACACACATATACATACATAATATATATTAAAATTTTTTTTATATGCACTATATTAAATACCATGTACATATGTATGTATAGTATAATGAATGTAGCGTTTTAACATTGTAATTAAAGTTTACGATCTGAAAATTGTAAAAAATGTGTAAAAAATTTGTAAACAAAGTAAAATATCGAGCCTTTATGATTATTTTTTTTTTTTTTGGTTTATTAATTGTTTTTAAAGTGTTATTTTTTATGACTTTAAAGTAAGAAATTTGTTGCAGATTTGTAAAATTGTTTAATCTAGCTTGTAAAATTCTTTAATCATTCATTGAATGCATATTAGTCATATTTTGTCTGAAGTTACGCGTCTCTCCGTGAAATGTCAATTATTCACCGATATAGACAAAAGCAATTTTATTAAATATTTTTACTTTTTAAACCAGTAAAATTATTGCCAATCTTTTATTGAAATTCTTTCATTTAAAGGCTTATTCCTTTCATGAAAAGGCTTATGGTTTTTCATTTTACGTTTTCCATGATTTGTTTTTT